GAGACCCACTGGGGGGGGGGAAAGGAGAGGGCTGAGACTGACCCACTGGCACACACACACACACACACACACAAAGAGGAGGTTAGTTCAAGCTGGACGGACTTCAAGAAATCCAAATTAAATGGACGTGAGCAGCAGCTGGGAGAAAGAGGCAGGGAATTGATGCTTCTCCCCCCCCCCAGATGCTGCTGCTGTTTGTGGTGGGAAGGTCTCAAAAGTGGGACTCTTTTGGGGCTGGGAGGGGGGAGAAGCTTCTTTCTGGCCCCCAGGGAAGGAGCTGGGGTTGGTCTCCTTCGTCCCTTTCTCAAAGCGGCGAGACAGGTGGAAGAGACACGGCGGCTACGGCCGCTGTGGTGCCGGAGAGTCAAAATAATCTTTCTCTCCTCTCTTTTTCTTTCTTTCTTTCCTTCCTTCCTTCTTTCTCTCCCTCCCTCCCTCTCTCATCCAACAGTCCTACCTGCCTCTCAAGGGATAACATCCAACAATAGGTAAGCTGCCTTCTTTTTTCGGTGGGTGGGGAATTTCTTGTGTGGGGGTGGGTGGGTGGGGGGTGTCTGTGAGCCTAGGGGAAACTGTTTGGACTTTGGCAGGGAAAAGGGCAAAATTTCTTGCCTCTTTCGTTAAGGTTTCCTCTCCTCTCCTGGGGAGAATATTTGGCATGTGAGGGAGGGGAGAGGGAGACCCCCCACCCCGGGTTGAGGGGCAGGATCAAGGAGTCTTTGGAGCCCACCGGTCTTGGGGAAGGAGGGGGCGTATTTCCCTGTCTGATGAGGGCATTTGCACACATGGAAGTTTGGTCTCTGCACGTTTAATTTGGCCGGATGAAATTTCAATGCATGAAAAGACAACGAGGAGGAGGAGGAAGGAGGAAGGAGGAGGAGGAGGAGGAGGAGGAAGGAGGAGGAAGAAGAAGGAGGAAGGAGGAGGAGGAAAGGAGGAAAGAAGGAGGTGTCTTTTGCTCTTTCTTATCTCTCCCCCTTTGTCCCCAAAGTCTCCCCAAGGAACTCAAAGCGGATTAGCTTCCCAACCAGAGCCGACATCTCCCTCTCGGCCTCTTCCTCCACCCACCCAACATCTAACCCCGATTCAGGCTGGACTGCCCCACCGAGAAGATGACAGCCTAGGAGGTGGAACCATGAACGTCCAGCTGAGCTTGGAGAATGGTGGGGAGATGGCCGTTCCAGAGCAGGACTTCATGCCAGGCGACGCGCGTCCTCTGCACTCAGCACTGCAGAGGTCCTCGCTGGTGGCCTCCGTGCTGGAAGGCGGCGAATGCCACCGGGCAGAGCACACCTTAGCCACCACCCTCCACCCCGGACTTGGCTTCGGCGGGGACTCGCCCACCTCCGGCGCGGGGAACAGCTACACCACCTTGACTCCCCTGCAGCCCCTTCACGAGAAGTTCCACCACCAGAACCACCACCACCACCACCACCACCAATGTCTGCCGATGGGCAACGTCATCGGGAGCTTCACCCTCATGAGGGAAGACCGAGGGCTGGGCGCCGGCGGGCATTTCTACAGCCCCTACCACCACAAAGACCTGGGCATGGGCCAGAGCCTGTCTTCGCTGCCCAGTCCGCAACTGGTCCCCATGCACAATTACGCGGGACACTCGGTCGCTCCCCTGGCCAACGAGAAGATGGTGCTCGGCAACGGCTTTGAAGGCCACTCCGCCGCCATGTTTGGCCGCATGGACCAGCACTTCCAAAGAGAGATGTCTCCCACCCAAAACTCCACCATGGCCTCTCCCAACCCCATGGGTCAAACCGGCTACGGCCACCCCCGGCCAGAGATGAACGCTCGGCCCAACCCGCCCATCGCCACCCAGACCACGGTCCTCTCCAGCCAGCTGGAGGAGATCAACACCAAGGAGGTGGCCCAGCGCATCATCGCCGAGCTCAAGCGCTACAGCATCCCGCAGGCCATCTTCGCGGAGAGGGTCCTCTGCCGGTCCCAGGGGACCCTCTCCGATCTCTTGAGGAACCCCAAGCCCTGGAGCAAGCTCAAATCCGGGAGGGAGACCTTCAAGCGGATGTGGCGGTGGCTTCAAGAGCCCGAATTCCAGAGGATGGCAGCTTTAAGGTTAGAAGGTAAGATACTATTTCCGTAGCCGAGATCCGGGGAGGGAGGGGGAGGCAGGGAACGTCAGGCGCCAAGGAGGGCATCTGAGGACCTTCGGGATCTGAGGCCTGGGACCCGGACCCGCTTCCCTAGGAGTAAGGCCCACTGCAGGCACCAAGGCTCCCTTCCAATAGACCAGGGGTAGGCAACCCTGGCTCTTTTAGGACTCGTGGACTTCAACTCCCAGAATTCCTGAGCCAGCCACGCTGAGGGGAAAGGGAGAGGTTTCCAAGCTGACCCATGCTGGCTCAGGAATTCTGGGAGTTGAAGTCCACGTGTCATAAAAGAGCCAGGGTTGCCTACCCCTGGAGTAGACCAACGGCGCCACTCGAACGACAGCCAATAGGCAATACTCTGCTCTCCAATACAGGCACTCCTCGAGTTACAACCAGAACAGAGCCTGTTGCTAAGCAAGACATCCATTAAGCGAGCTTGGCCCCGTTTTACGACCTTTCTTCCCACCGTTAAGTGATTTACTGCAGTTGTTAAGTTAGTAACCTGGTCGCTAAGCAGATCTGTGGCTTCCCTGTCGACTTGGCTGTCACAAAAGGGGAATCACGTGACACACACACCCAGGACGCTGCAACCGTCGTAAATACGAGTCAGTTGCCGAGCATCTGAATTTCGATCCCGTGACCACGGTGGACGCTTCAACGGTCGTTAAGTGTGAACAAAGCCACTTTTTTCAGCGCCGCTTTAACTTCGAACGGCCACGAAATGGACCGCTGTATGTTGAGGACTAGGTGTGCTTCTAACCGAGGGCGATGCAAAGGATTGGGGGCCCAGGAGACGATTTCTTAACCCACCCCCAGTTGAATTTCTCAGGGGTTTACACACAAGCCCTCCAGCCTCCGATCAATACTCAACGTTAGTCGGCCAGCATTAGTGCAACCGGGCTAAAATCTAGGCCAATGTCCCCTCCAAGGCCTAACCCAGTTTTGTCCTTTCCACAACCTTGCGGGTCAGGGACAAGCTCCCCGCAGAAGTCAATAATGGGGTGGGCATATCTCTAACCTGCCCTCCCCTCCATGAATCCCTTCTGCACACACACACGGCCGGCTCACACCAGCCTCCCGCAAGCCCCCCGCTGTCCAGCCACTTTCAGCCAAGGTCAGGGAAAACATGTCCTGCACAACCAGAAACACGACGACACCTTGGACCGTCCAGGTGGACCCCATCCCAGGTCAAAAGGTCTCCTTGTGTAGCACCAAGGAGGGTCCCTCATGGGGTAAAGGGACTTCTCCAATTATGCTTTTCAGCTTGGAGGGGTAGGTGCTCTTAGCCTGCCTTTCCACGCTTCAGCATTCACAAGTGCAGTGTCTTCATGTTCAGGTCAACCTCTGCATGCCCAAGGAAGAGTCTGGTCTGTTGGCCATCAAGCTCACAGTCAACTTCACGCGATTCCCAGGCAATTCCCAATGCCTTTTTTTTTTTTTGCAAGCTGGCCCCCAAAATAATAATAATAATTGTGGTCCCCTCACCCTGCCACAATTCCAGCATCTCTGTTGGTCCTATGTGAAAAAGTTTTCTCCCTTCTTCATTAACAAACAGGGGTAAACAAGAGCGAGAGGGGAAGATTTGTTTGTTTTACCTTTGAAAATTGAATTAAAAACAAAAAAAGTCTAAAGGGAAGGAGGCTTCAAGATAATTTCTTGAAACGGTTAAATCTGGTGGAATCCTTTCCTTGGGTGCATTTTGCTCCCGTTATACGGATCTCGATTGATCGGGGTTTTTTGAAATAGAGCAATATCTCCTAATGCAGTCTGCAAAAAACATTTTTCTGGGAGTTATTTATAGACGTGTCTGTTCGGGTTTTTCCTTGTCTTGTTCCACCATCTATTTTCCTGACCAAAATATCCTCCGTTAAACTTATCCTTTTCCACCCCATCCGAATGTTTCTTTGGTTTTTCTTTTGCTGATTTTTTTTTTACACTGTGTGTGTTGCAAAGATATTTGTTTCCATATAGCAATATTTAAGATTTTTTTTTCCTTTTATGTTCCTAATGATGGACAAGCCGTTGGGTTTAAGCTTCTCCCAGGGTTTCTAAGGGATGATATTTAACTGTTGATATAAGAAGGGAAAACTTAAGGCTGTGAAATATTATTTGGATGTTTGTGGGCAAAAATTAGGCTACCGTTTGGGTCAGGTACCTTAACTTTCCAAAAGAGGCAAAGAGATGTTGACTTGATTGAGGAAGGACCAACTCTTCTCTGATGGATTACAAAAACTCTGATTCGTTCCTGCAAAAAGGGAAATTGAAATTTAAAAAAACCCTCTTTTTTTGAAGAAGAAAAAAAAAGGAATATTGTTTTACGGCCAGCAGAAGGAGCCAAGGTAGTTAGTGTTAGCTTTACAGCCAACAGCACATTTGAACTGAATTCCCAGAATTCCATGCTGAATAGAGAATCCTGGGAATTGAAGTCCAAGCATGCTGGCTGGGGAACTCTGGGAATTGGAAGTCCATCCCTCTTAAAAGTGGCCAAGGTAGAGAAAGCTGATCTGAAAAATAACAGAATAACAGAGTTGGAAGGGACCTCGGAGGTCTTCTAGTCCAACCCCGTTTGTCCTCTTCTCCCTGTTCGTATCCCTGAGATTAGGCCAGGCCAAGTGGTCTCTCCAGAGATCACGTCGCATGGACTGGAATCACCACCTTGCAAAAAGCTAGACAGAGGGATCCGTCAGGTGGTTCCACTAGATCACAATCCCACCCACTTTCATGCAGCAGGGAGTTCCAAGGTTCCCCTGGGAAGAGATTTCCTTCCGATGAAAAAGCAATGGAATCACACCACTGAAATTCAAGAGGTGCGGTTGTGTGACCCGGCAGCAATCGATCTGGGGGGGGTGGGGGGATCTCCTAGCAGGCTGACTTGGGGGGAGACCCACTGGATTCAATGAGCTGGCTTCTGATGAGGAAAGTTTTAATCTTAAGTCGCTCTGGCTTTTCCCGAAAAAGAAAGGGCCTGAGATGCTTTTGAGAATATTTCTGCGTTTTCTGAAGAAGGCGTGCCTCTTTTTTTCCCTCTCCAAAAAAATTCACTTCTGTAGCATCTATTTCCAAATTTGCATTAAGGTAATGACATCCCTTGGCTAACGGGGAGCAAACCGAGGCAACCTTTTCTGTTTTTAAGCAAAAGGAATTGCTTGAAAAAGTGCCCAGATCTCTCTCTGCAAAACTTCTGTCGGGGTTTTAAAACGCCAGGAATTGTAGATATATTTGAGCCTCTCTTCCCCCCAACAAGTCGCATTTGCTTTTTATGTAAAATGTCCATTTCCCCCTTTTGAGTCTCCCTTTTGCCTCCTCCAACGCTGGGAACAATTCATTTCCAGCTTTGAAACGATCCCTGAAGGATCCACCATCTGGTGCAGGTCAAATGGAAGCCCGGAAGACGAGGCTTTTAACTTGGGATAAAGCTCAAACCACGATCCAGAGGGCTGTGCAGTTACGTTCAATTGTTTTCCTTCCGAGAGAAGCATCCTCACGTTTGGCTAGGGTTATTTGGGGGGGGGGGTTCAGCGTCCCCGATATGAAAGAGGGCTTGATTTACTCTACAAACGGACAGCGTAAACTAACAAGCATGGCTGATTTTCTGTTCCAAAAACCCTGAATCTGGAAGGGGAAAAAACAAACAAAAACCCAGACTTGTTATGCATCCACAAAAATATTGCAATAAAACCTGAGTATTTTTTGCTCAGGGACCACTTCCAAACCAGTCCACTGGACTGAACGTAAAATGTAAATTGAATGGGCCTCTCCCCTAAAATCTCCAGATTTTGCTTCCATTTTTAATTATTGCTAACCCCTACACCCCAAAGACAGCTTCTGGGGTGAAAAGCAGAGCCTGGGAAGGTCACCTTGCACGGATTAAAATGGCTCAAATCGTCTCCTGAAATTTAAACCTCGCGAATGCTACGAATAGAATACTTTACTTTGCCATGATTAAAACAAGGCTTGCATTTGGGCTAATGAGTTGGGGAACGGTTGGAGTTTAATTTAGGCGGTCCCAATCCTACGAAGGAGTGTTTTAGAATTTCCAGGGATAAAAAGGTGGGGTCGTAACCGAAGGGCAGGAAGGCTCAGAGGAGGCTAAGAGCGGCATTAATGAAATTAATTGGGGGTGGGTGGGTGGGAGGGAAACACTCTGCTTCAGACCCCCCCCCCCTCATCCAGGCCCAAGGGCGACCTTCTCAACCCAGGCTGCAAATGTGCAAACAGCCCAGGGTCAGCCAGGTTAGCAGAAGCCAACTTGGAATCGGAGGATGGAAATTGCCCTGCTCAAGATAACCATCTCTTCCCTTTCCAGGGATTTCTTTTGTTCCCCTCTCCCTGGCAACGTGCCGGGGGGGGGGGGGGGGAGAAAGTGGAAGGAAGGGAAGAAACCCCCCCCCCTTTCTTCTACTCGTCCCTCAACCTATAGAGGATCTTCTCACGAAAAGATCTTCATTGATTTTTCTCAGGCACAACCAGCCACCAGCTACCGAACGGACAATTCCCCCGAATCCCTTCTGCTCTTCGGCTTTCCATTTCAAACAGAACATTGGGGGTGGGCTTTTAGGAGGGGGGGAAGAGATGAGGTTTCAGTTGGCCCCCAAAGTGCCCCTTCCAGGTTTTAACCCTGCTTGCCCAATTGTTCCCCCCCCCCACAAACAAAGGGGAGAAAAAGCAACCGATCATCTTAAATTCCCAAACTGCACTTTGCTCATTAAAAAAAATCATCTTTTTAAAAAACCCCAAACAAGTCGCTTTTCTATTTCACCACCTGTGTTGCCACCAGGACGTGGACATAATTCTGCCTAATATATATATTTAAATAGAACAACTGAGCTGGGGATGAGTGAAGAGCCTTGATTTGCAGGTGATATTTTTTTTTTGTCGTTCTTTAACTCAGAATCCAGCCCTATTTCTATTCCACAAATAAGGGCAAAGCATCTACTGAATTAGAGCAGCCAAACCTGGTCCAGACACAGTTTAAAACTGAGCCAGGAGCCCGAGGGATGAATCTAAACTGATAATAAATGGAAGATAGCTTGATTTTTAGTGCTGGTGGCTCAATGCATCTTCAGGAGTTTAAAGATGCAAGGCCAGAGACTGGTCCAAGCAATCGCTAAATGAAAGTAGAAGAATTTCCTAGCAGCGCCTTTTGGCTTATGGCTGCTAAAAAAAAAAAAAATCCTAATACATAATTTACCAGATTTTAGGTAAGCTCTGAAGTCCAGGAAAAAGCTGATGATGCAGGACTTCCTGTTCTGAATTAAGCAGCCGTGGATCCCTAGCTAAGATTTCTATCTTTTCTGCAATCATCTATTCGGTCGGTGCCCACACAGAGAGAAAGAGACACACTCAATCGGATGTTTCCAGAATAGGAAAGACACCAATAACACATTAAAAGAGAGCCAGCCCAGGGATATTGGGGGGGGGGGGGAATTGCACCCCAATTTCTGCAGCTGAAGGGAGTCTCCCCCTTCCTGATTCTGCTCTCCCCTCTCTTCTCCTGAGCACCAGCCCACCATCAATCCCGTCTTGCAAGGGTTAACGCGAAACTGGCTGTTCTTTGCAGCCATATAGTTGGGATCTGATCAATATTTTCTATCAGCGTGCAGCCAGAGCAGCGTAGCAAAGGCAGGGGGAGTGTGTGTGTGTGTGTGTGTGTGTGTGTGCGCGCGGGGGGGGGGTCTGCTTGGGAAGAGCTGAAGAGCAAAATAAGCTTGTCACGTTTCACGGCCACAAGACAGGAGCAGAGATCCCATTGCAGTGTGTTTGTGGCTCTTACTTGTAAAAAAAAATCTGTATTTTCCTGTCCCTTTCTGCTGTGGATGATGGGCACCCGCTTCCTTCTAATCTAGGCTATCCTCGGACAGGTTTCCTCTGCCCGCAATTAAGGCAATTAAAACAGCCATTAAGCAGATGTCTTTTTGGAATGATTATAGGAGCATATAATAGTAGGGGCACCTGTGTTATAGAAATATGTAGTCAATGTTGCAAGGTTTGGGGAAATTCAAGAAATTATACATTTTAAAACCCGTTGATTCATAAGAATAGAATAAGTGTTCTAGAGTCCCAAAGGTGCTTTTTTTCAAGAGGCAATTGGACTTTCTTGTTTTTTCTTGGAAGGCGTTTCGCTTTCCCATCTAGGAAGCTTCTTCGGGTTCTGGCTAAATGGCGGAGGGAGGGAGGATATGTATTCCTTGCAGACATCTGGTCACTGGCACTCTCTCTGAGAGTCGTTGAGGCCACTTGGAGGTCACCTAAATCCAGACTACAGGATTCAGGTGACCCTGAGGGCACAGAAAAACCTCCAAGTGGCCTCGGGGAGAGTGTCGACAACCAGATGACTGCAAGGAACATCAATCCATCCTCCGCCATTCAGCCAGAACCTGAGGAAGCTTCTGAGTTACGAGAAGCGAGACCTCTTCAAAGAAAAACAAGAAAGTCCAGTTGCCTGGTGAAAGAGCACCTTTGGGACAACCTGGATGACTGGGAATCTCCATCTCTAGGCCATTTATCCAATTAAGCGCAGTATTTGTTAGTTGGAGAAAATCTGCTTCTCCCCCTGAAAAAGCTCTCAAAAGGTAGCCAGTCCGCTAATCAAATGTTCCGTCAGGAGAGCTGCTGTTCTGATGTCTTTTACCAACCCGTCAAGCAGGCTTCTAAAAGGCACCCCCGTTGCACGCTGACCAAACCGGGGTCAATAAGGTTAAAAACGGCACCCAGGATAAGGTAGCGGGACCAGCTTTAGGGCTGGCCGGCATGTCAGAAGGGTCTGTTCCTCAATCATCTCGTGCAAGCGTCCGAATTTGGCTGTAGGGAGAGAGTTGTGGATGGGTTAAAAAAGTGTATTTCTCCCTAAGCCAAATTTGGGGCTCCCCTGTGAAGGACGGGGCCGCCCTGCCCGGTACGCCAGCCGGGCTGCCTCCAGATGCCCTCAAGGGTCTCTTGCTGGGGAAAACAACTGGAAGGAGCCGGAGGAAGGGCTGGGGAAGCAAGAAAGGAGGCAGAAGATTTCAGTCACCAGAGCTATTGATTTAGCATTAAATTTCCAGCTCCCCTCTTTCTCCTCCCTCCCTCCCTCCCTCCCTGCCATTAAATGAAGGCATAAAAGCACAGAGAGGTGCAGTTGTGTGCTTTAAGGTCATCCTCCGGCTAAAGAGCAAACTTTTATTTTTGATTCCAAGGGAGGGAAGCAAAACAGCAACAAAACACATACACACACAACACAGACCTTGCAACCAGAGTCTGCCCTAAGCTGCGGTTGATTCAAGGGTTGTTCTCGCCACTTCCCAGCCCATAAAATTATAAATTATACGGTTTTTTCCCAGCTTAAATCCGAGAGTTTGGGGGACAGAATGACCTTCTCTCTTTTCCCTGACTCTCCATCTCCCCAAAGAGCATCGGACCCCAAACTCAGCTGCTCCACATTCTGCTGCAAAAATTAACCGGAGCCCAGTCACGTTAATCCCCCCACCCCCGACAATGCAGAAATATTCTCTCTGGCTGCACCAGGTTATAATTTCACGCCTGTAATTTTAACCCAGGTAGCAACCCTGCCCTCGATCTTGAATCAGTTTAGCTAGAAAGGAGACAGGGTGAAGGCTGGGAGGGAAGATGATCTCTGGGTGCCTCTTTGGCTCCATGGAACCTCCACGGAGAGGGGCAGTCTATCAGAATGCCGGTGGTGACAGAGCGAAGGATAATAATAGCAACAGAGTGTGGAGCAGAGCTGATCCGCTGCCAAGGTGAACAGCAATTGGTATTTATTTATTTTTTGGTTTTATACGGTGTGTAACTAACCTGCCCATCTCCCCCTCTCTCCCCCCCCCCCCAGCCTGCAAAAGAAAAGAGCAAGACCAAAGCAAAGTTGACCGCAACCACGTCCCCAAGCGCCACCGGCTGGTCTTCACGGACATCCAGCGCCGGACCCTCCACGCCATTTTCCACGAGAACCAAAGGCCTTCCAAGGACCTTCAGATCACCATCGCCCAACAGCTGGGCCTGGAGCTGTCCACCGTTAGCAACTTCTTCATGAACGCCCGGCGGAGGAGCCTGGACAAATGGATGGAGGAAGGGAGGTCCCCCTCCGCCGGCTCGACCCCGTCCTCGGCGGTCACTTGCACCAAAGCGTGACCGCCGAGGCGCCGGACGGTCCCCTTTCTTGCACCAAAGATGGAAGACGAGCACTTCAGCCGGGCAGGCGCCAAAATGGCCAGAGGAGAAGAAGGGACGCCTAGTGTCTGAATCCTGCTCTGGGGGAGTCACCACCCTCCTGTAATTTTCGCCCGGGGGGAGGGGGAGGGGGTCTAGGTGAGGGTGAGCCCCCTTCTTCGACCCTGAAGGACCTTGAGAAGGACGGTCAAGGCTGCCTCCAAGAAGCGGTGGTTCCTTTGTTTCATCCTACAAACTCTGCTGTGTGGGTCCCCAATGAGGAGGCAACGCCATCTAGTGGTCCAAAGGGGGGGGGGAAAGTGGGGAGGGGGGCGAAGGACCAGAACGGGGTTACCTTCCACCGAGGAGGAAGGGGAAGACCCCCTACCCTTGGGAGCAGATATCCCAAAGCAAGTCATTTCCTTCTAAAAACCCTTGGCGCTAAATATCCCCCTTCCCCAACGCAGGTGGGCTCGGCCCAGTCTCCCCACCCCGACAATTCGATGCATGAAGCCTAATGACAGAGACCCCCCCCCCTCACTCTCTCAAGGTTCCAAGCCAGTTTCTGAGTTGGACAAAGCAGAGCCAGTTTTAAACCACAATTCCTCCTCCTCCTCCTCCTCCTCCATCATCATCTATTTTCTAAGCCACTGCAGGACAGGCAGCAATCCGAGATGAGCACAAATCTCTGGCCCTCCTTGCCCCCCTACCCAGAGGTCCACCCATGGCTAATTTTGCATCTGGAATATCCCCCTGCTGCCCCTCCTTGACCTCCCCTCCCTCCTCCAGCATCTTTGGGCCGCCCACTCGTTTCATGACTCCCCTCCCAGACCTTGTTTGAAAGGGGTCAGGAAGCAAAGTGGCCCTTCTGGGTCAGAGCAGGGCTGGACAGACGCAGATTATTCTCTGCTGCATCTTGGAAAGCTGCCTTTCGTTTTATCTGATCGGCGGTCAAAGCCACGATCCATGCAGAGGGCACCAGAACAACCTTGGCTATCCTGCCCCCCCCTTTGGGTCCCTCTCCCCACCACTGCTGCTACTGCTTCTTCCTCCTCCTCCTCCTCCTCCTCCTCCTCCTCCCCTTCCAGGCCTGTTGGGTGTTCCCCTGGTCCCAAAAGGTTCTCCAAATTACCGAAAAGAAAAAAAAAAGGAGAAAAAAAAAATTCTACCTCACTTTATCTCTTGCACCAAACGATACCAAAGATGGTTTTGTTTTCCTTTTGCAAACAAAGTCTTTTGTGTGTGGGTGTGGGTGTATGTATGTGTGTGTGTCGGGGCGAGTGTGTCGTCGTTGGAGCAAGGGTGGACGGGTGTGTGTGTCGTAACGCGATAGTTCTTATTTTTAATTTCCTGCATGGCTTCTCTAAGTACTTGGTTTGCGTCAAGACGCTCAGCTTGCCCTGGGCAGAGAGGGCACCGGCCTTTTTCTCTTTTTTTTTTGGGGGGGGGGAAGAAACCTGAACCCCAATTTCTCTCAACCTGCTTCCCCCCCCCCCATTCTCTGACCACCTTGTTCCCAGTGGAAGCTAAGATAATGCACTTTAGGGACCGAGCTACTGGGAAAGGACTTGGGAAGGTCCCTTCTGAATGTGCCCTGAGCCACAAAATGAACAAACAGGATTAAAAAAAAAAAGGGGGTGTGTGTGCATTGTTTGCCAATTCCAAACAGAAATTTATGGAATTGGAGGGGAAAAAAGTTACACATTACACTCCTGCCTTCTTAGAGGCTGATAGAGGCTCCCTTTCTTGGCTCCTTTTTCACCGCTGACCCTCTTTTTAAAATAATCTAGTTTCTTTTTTTTTTAAACGCTCTGGCCAATTAACCAGGTCTCAAAAACTCAATTCTTCCAAGATTTTTTTTTTTCCCCACAGAAGTTGTCTGCTCGCTTCTGACAATAGGCAGACCACACTCTGACCGGCAATCAGCATTGTTACGTTTACACAGTTTTATCAGTTTTATCAAAAAGGGTTTGAGGTGACTCACAGTGAGGAAATACTGTTCAAAGTAGGCAGGCCAAAAAAACAAGAGGTGAGGTGTAAGAAATCCATACCAGCTTCTAATTAACACATTTTCTAAATGAATAGCTAAGGTTAGTACTTATGTTTGATTGGAGCCCACTCATTTTTCAAAGTTGTTGGGGTAAGATTGCCGTAGAAGGGCTGCCATCTTGAACAATCTCATTTTTATAAAAAAAAATCTATCTCTTCACAACTCCAATATCTGCACCGCTGGTGAAATTCTAATAAACCATTTCCCCTGGGTTTATAAACCCTAATATTGTTTCTTTTGGGCTGTGTGAACCCATCCATGACGACTTAAATCTCTATGCAAACCAGGCAATCGAGGCTTGTGTAATAAACCACGAAGATAAATCTTAGCTTAGCATTCGCTTTTAGCACAACAGGACGCATTCACTCTTAAAAAGAAATGAATCCTTGGTCCCATCAACTATATCTGAACAAAACGAAGAAAAAAAAAATTAACAGGCGTCAATGTGGCCTCAACTATCAAATCGAAAGAGGAAGGCCTAAAATAGGTGTATTTCTTACCCTGGCATTTAAAATGTGTTTTAAAAATGGGCTGCTTTTAAAATCTTTAAGAGTTTATAAATCAGGCGAGTGCATATGAACCAATTTCTGGGCTGGCCTTTTTTTTGCCAAACCTGTTAAGCTCTTGGGAAATTTTGTATTGTATTTTTTTTTTTACCTGCCTAAACACACATCCTAGTTGGTGACCTCTAACAAGAATAAGGTGTGGCAAAGGAGGATTAACAGATGGCTTTAAAAAAAAAAAGTTTGCTAAACTCCAGGATTTTAGTTCCAAAGTCCGATGAATCTGGTTCTGCAAGGAATCCTTCGGATACCAACCACCAATACGCTATGTACGTACAATTCAGCTCTGATTCCCGAGTCTGAAGCGGCTGCCTTATCGCAATTTTTGTTTGCTTGTTACACAATCTGTGCTCTGCAACATCACAGGCACAACACCTGGGCTCAGACCAAGCCCTGATGACGTTTTGAGCTCAAGCCAGCAAAAGACACTTCCTTGGGTGGGGTGCTTTTGTCAATCCTGACATGTTCCCACCTTGCTTAAATGTTTTAACTCTGGAAACCCATTATATTGTCAAATTCAGGCCCTCATTAGTAACAGCAGCTCTAAAGTATGTTCCGTGGCTTTCCCACGTCCTGGAAGATCAGGTTGCTAACTTGGAAAACATATGGTTCTTCCTGTGCTTTATGTACAGCTTGACGGGCAGAGATAAATAGGCAAACTTTTCTATAGAATAAAACAGTGGTTCTCAACCTGTGGTCTGCGGACCCCTGGGGGGCTACGAGGTCATCACAGGGGGTCCTCGAAGGCTTGAAGAAATGTTATGATTTAAATCTTAAGTCTTGGAGGGGTGGGTGGATCCGTGGCTACAAAGGGTATTCAAAGGAAACGTTGAGAACCACCGGAACGAAAGATCATTTAAAAAAAGAGACTACCCTGTCATTCAAAAGTGGATCTCTTCCCCGTAAAAGGTGTCCCTTTCTCTTCACTCCCTGGCCAGTGTAAGCTGAGTGGTGTGCTCATGTTTTTTTAAATCAAAGCAGTGCATTACTATCTATTAATGAATTGAATGTTTCTCCTTTGTTTGTCAACCGTGCTAACTTAAACAGAAAAACCAAAGTCTTTCTCTCTTTTCTTTTTGTCTGTAAACAAGAAAATGAAAAGACCAAAAACAAAAACCAAAAAAAAGTTGAACAAAAGCTGTACATTTTATACCAAAGTTTTTTCTTCTTGAATACCTCATCCTGTAGCTGTTTGTGGTGAAATGTTATTCAGAGAAAGTAAACTGTCCTTAAACTGAAGCACAACGGAGCGCTCTGCTTTACGGGCAGGGATGGGGGAGGGGAGGTTATGGGGAAGTGGGGTGGTTTTTTTTTTAAAAGCCAAGTCCGAGGTCAAGGGTACCTGGGAAGTGAGTCAAGGAAACGGGTTCTGCTGCGCCAAATTAGTAAACCAATTCCAGGCATTAGTAGGGATTCTCGACCGACTTACCTAGCTTCTGCAACCTTTTTAACTCTTCCCATCCAGCCTGAAGATTCTTCTGAATTTTCCAATCCAAATTTCTTCCTCCATCTACGACATTGGAGGAAATGTTGAGCGGGCTTTAAAATCTGCTTTAAAGGGTCTTAAACCTCCCGCAATTTTCTAACTTAAGCAAAAAAAATAAAAAATAAAAAAAATAAAAAAATGGCAAGGGAACACAATGACGACTTTCAAAGGAAAGGAAAGAGTTTAATAACAAGGCAGTGGCCTCTAGAGACTACAAACCCACAGAAACCATGTTTCTCAAGATCCTGAAACACTGCAGGCTCGGCCCTGAACGTCGATGGCCTCAACTGGGTTCAAAGGGTCGGCTCTAACTGGTGGCTCAGGCAGCCCAAATACACCTCTGTGAACTGTGAACTCACGGTAAGGCACTAAACTAAAGGACACGGAGTTGCAAGCAGAACCACAAGCATTAAGGTACAATTTTACGCAGGTCTGGAATTCAGCGTCAAGTTTCTAGATCTCATGGTTCTGAAAAGAGGCTCTAAAGCGTCTCCCCCCCCCCCCGAGGCCAACGGACCTCTTAAAAGTCTCACAAGATAGTCGAATAAAACAGAATGGGTTTTAATCCCGGCCCCTTCCAGGAAAAAACCTGGTTGGGAACTATCCAAGTCTAACCAGTTTTGTACAATGTGTTCTGGCTTCGGTTGCTGTCAGTACAAGTATTCGGGGGTTGAACTCTTAAATTAGATGCACTTCAATCTAACCGGGGTGCATCTGAACGGCGATACCGGGAGGAGACAACCAGGGGCGTTGCTGCTCCTTGCCAGGACTCTCCGCGCAACCTTTAGGCTCAAAAAGCAGAAAGCAAACACGGCCGAGATTGCATAGAAACTTGTGCTGTAATTCAACAAACGCAAGGACAGCACAAGGAAAAGAAAAAAAAAAAAGCAAAGGAACTTGGATTCCTGAAGAAGAAGGAAAAAAAAAAACCTGGCAAGACAAAAAAGGGAGGTTGGGATCGTGAGGTTAAAAAAGGAGAACAAGCACACCCGCCAGAATGAATCCCCCTCCTCAATACGGCAAAAAAGAGAGGAGGGTTTGAAGTGAAAGATGAGGGGGGCAGGGAGAAAGGACTGTCTTTTTGTCCCAGACACAGCCCCTCCTTTGTTTTAAGTTGGGGTCTAAGAAAAAATGAACCAGGGTTAGGGTTAGGGAGAGCAATGCACAAACGTCTTGGCTGATCCCGGGATCCCTTGAAGAAGGTGTGACGGTGGGGCTGGCGGTGAAGGCAGGGCTGTCCCTGTAACAGAATGAGCTCTCCAGGCCCAGCTTCAGAGGCCGATGGTGGGCCTGGCTAGCCGCGGTCGCCAAAAGCTCCTGCTCAGGAAGGTGGGAGGACACCACCAAGCCTCCTGGAGGAGAAAAGGGCCGAAGCCGCTTGGAACCACTTCGCTCGCCGGGAGGGCTTAGGATTTATTGAAGGCCGCCAACACAGCCCAGATCATCTCGGCGCCCGCTGCCTTGGCGGCCTCCACCTCAGGGTCCCTATCCATCAGATCCTTGGACCTATTCATTGCCACATCGTACTTCTCATCCACCAGGCTGGCGAAGACGTTCTCCAGCACGTCCGAGGCGTGGGCCAGGACCAGCAGCGCCAAAGTCCTCCTGTCCATGCGGTGGGGGTCGTTGACCCACCTGTCCAGGACGCTCTCCTGCAGCCGTTTCACCAGCCGCTGCTTCTCCGTGGTGTTGGTGACCGGGTGGGTGGTCATGTCGAAGAGGAGGAAGTTCTGCTTCTCGGTGGTCAAGATGCCCTTCTCCACCAGGTTCTTGGCAATCCGCTCGCGGACGTTGCGCAGCTGGTACTGCAGCTTGAAGGGATTCCAGGTTTCACCTGGGAGGGAGGGAACCATTCGGAGTCAGGGAAAATTATGCTCTGTGGGCAAATTACTGAAGGAAGCCCCCAACAGCTTTTGGACAGGCCTGCCTGAAACTTCCCTCCCCCCTTTATTCTCTCTTAAATCCTAGGTTTTGAAGACGACCTCCAAAATATATGGATTTATATTCCGGGGTGACTCAAAATGGATTCCCTATTTACCTCTGGGTAACGTTACATCCAACACTTTGGACAAAGTAAAAAAAGCTCATGAAAATGAGACAATGGGAAGAATCCCAGCCCTTGGGAAAACCTAATTTGATTTCTTCCTTCAGGGTTGATGATCACTGCCATTTCTGGACAATGGTTGATAGCTGAATGTGTCTCTAATGCTGGTTTTTTCATCAATTTAACCATTCATTTTCCTTCGGTCGAAATCTACACATTGCATTGAGCCATAAAAGTACAGCAGTTGTTTGATTCTCTGTTTTTTTTTTTAAAAAAAAACTTTGGGCTGTGGTGGCTTGAAACCATGAGTTAAACAATTGAGTCAAATTTCAACTCTTTCCACAAAACCCAGGCTCATTGCAAGGTGTGACCCCGGCCACAGAAACCAGCAGGCCCAGTGAAGGATGTCACCCTCACAGCTGTTTCAGAAGCAGCTGCAGGACAAGGCAAGCGCTCTGCACGGGGCCAGGGGCTGCCCTCGGAGAGACCAGGACCGCAGCCACACAAGGCAGCCGTCCAATCTCTCTCACCTGTGAGCAGTTCAATCCAGGTCTGCACGGTCTCGGCTGGCTCCGTGGCCTTCAGATGGCGGAGCGTCTCGTCCAGGAGGACGTCTCCAGTCGGGGCATCCGACTTCACGAGGACCTGAGTGGGCGAAGAAAACGGGGTCCAGGCGCTGAAGAGGTGGAGACCCAGTAGTTCTTCACAGCCCGGGCAAACCGGGAAGGCCAAAGCCTACCTTTCGATCCAGCAGCCGTTTTTTCCTCATGGACTGGGGCTCCAGCTGTATCCTGCCTCGCATGGCGAGCTCAATGAGGATTCCCCCGCGCAGTCCCGAGGAAATGCAGTCATTCCAGAAAGATGTGTAGCCCTGAGAAGACCAGCAAAGCAGAAGTCAACCGGGAGAGCTCAGCTCAGTCCCAAAAGCGCACACACACAGGTTTACCACAAACCACCCTGGTCCCACCAGACTTTGACCAGCAGACTAACTCCACAGCATACGTAACAAAATTGTTATACGTCGTCCTGATACACAAAACGTCAGCCCTAGCTCCTCTCTTACTTGTCGATTTAATAATGTGAGGAAAAGTCCTGACAAAAGGGTATGAAAGCAGCAGCAAAACTAGCACTCAATTCGGGTTTTCAGAAAATGTGCATCAAGTAGGAAGACGTAAGTGCAGAGTTTAAATTCAAGATATTAAACCTTGGCATTTAGATAAGCCGAATTCAGTGTCATATTTTTACCACCTGCATTCTTGCATCAGGCAAGCGTGGGGAAAAAAAATCAGTCGTACCGTATCCAATCTTTTCATTTTTTTTTCGTTTGCCTGGTGGTTCCAAGATTACATAATTGTTAAGTCAATTAGGATAAGGACTAAAAATTTGGTAACTATGCCTAATAACGAGGCATGCTAGCCATGATTAACTGCTTTTTTTTTTTTTAAAAAAAAAAAAATCTCAGCTAGATTAATAATATATTTCCTTAGATTACATTGCCAAGTTTGACAGCAGATGGGAAGGTTATACCAGAAACAATTCTGGCAGAGAACATTTGGCTGAAATGTCAACTCAAATAGAAAAGCAAACAAGAGATTTCACGGTTCCTGTAATGTCCAGAGCACACACACAAATTGCCAATCTCTCAAATACGCAAATACTCCTAAAGCACCAACTTCCCTCTCCTTCTCAACATCCAATTAAATCGTTACATATTTTGTGAAAGTAATGGAGGAAAAATGGGATTTTAACAACCATCTGTACTTTTTAAATGACACAAAATATTTGAATATGTTAGAACTCAGTGTTCCTTCGAAAATCTGCCTTCGATTCATTCAGTTTTATCAGGCTTATAAATCTCTTGGCATTTTAGTCTGTGCTCTTCCTGCTTTTTTTTTCCCCTTTCTCTCATTTTGCATCTCTTCTTTCTCCTAAAGGGTTGATAACAAATCATAATAAAAAGAAAAAGAAGTGGACTTTTCTATCACCATTGCAACAAAGCAAATGGTATATACTGTATGTGGTCTCCTGCTTGAGCAGGGGGTTGGACTAGAAGACCTCCAAGGTCCCTTCCAGCTCTGTTCAGATGCAAAGCGGTTCTAGCTTATCTTTGAATTAAATTGGAATTTAATTCTTTTCGACTCCCATTTCAAGCCAAACACAATTTTACTGTCCATCTGTCCTGTATGATTTCTGTCAGTCAAAAACAACACAAGACAAAGGATTTTGCTGCGCCTTTTTACAACTGAGAGAAGCACATCCCAGCTACAGGTCTTGGGAATCCCGTCCTTAAAGTACAGTAAAAAAGAGGTTTACCCTAATTCTTTTATTTAGTGATTTAATCTGGTATCCCCTACTGTAAAAAAAAAAAGAGAGAGAGAGAGACCAGGCATTTTTTCTACAATCCTGCAGCAATGTTTTTGTTTGTTTGTTTTTCCCCATTCAGTCTATTACAATTAGCTTCGAGGTCTGCAAGGTTAGGAAATCCAGGATGGAAGCTACATCTGGCTACTATATGCCAATCATGGAGAGCCAGGACCAGTTTCTCCCTGGGCAAATTTGCCATGTGGAACTTCCATCCCCATGGAAGAGGAGGAAATGAAGCCCCTGAGAGAAAGTCACAGAACAGGTGCAGCTGGAATTAGGATGCTGTAATTTAAACGGTGTCGCCCAAGGGCAAGGAGTTACGTACACAACACACCAAGGTTAAATGCTGTTTTGTTATGAACAGCCTCCAAATGCAACTTCCGGCTTCTTAGAGAGAAGATGTGATGCCCCAAATTTGGGGCATCACATCTGTGATGCCCCAAATTACGGCAGTTTCTGCACACCTACTTGAGTAGCAAAAATACGTAGCAATTTTCCCTTGTTCCGCCCTGAAGGAAGACAGCCAAGCTGGCACGTACTACTGTTTCCTGGTTTTTCATTAAATCAAGTTCTGTTTGTTGAGAACTGGATCAAGAGAAAGTTTCTCTTCTCCTGCCAATGGCATTAAATTAAGTTAAAATTTGGGACGTAGCCTGACATTGTTGACTGATCAAACCAGGAATACATTAGTACTGATAACTGGATCGGCAATGCCCAAGGAGATCCTTGGGAAACTTTTGTTTCTCTCACACTCCTTCTTAGTCCCAACAAACTTTTCTAATTAAGGGAAGGTTATGAGCTTTGGTGTTGGCAAAAAAAACCTTGGCAAACTGGTTTGCTGGTTAAAAAAAAAAACATCAGAGGGATCAGTTTACCGCTGGTTTAAAATATAAAGCACCCATCATAATGAACTCCACTCCTTGGTAAAAGCACTGCTAAAATCCCAACTGAATCTCCAGTGACCTTGGTCAAAAAGGAAGCAGAACCCAACCCTGAATTTGAATTTTCTGACTTAACTTGACGGAATTTTTCTCTGCTCCTTCACATAATAGTGCAAAGCTGCTCTGTTGTTTTTCTTAATGTTGCTGTTGAAACCTGCCTTGTTTAGGAAAGTTGTTTTAGTTGTGCCCAGTTGTTACCACATTGTATCACTCTGGAAGTTATTTCTGAATACGTTTTGTTGTTTACAAATCTAAATTTTGTACGTTGTCAGGAGCCTTCTTGGGAAAAGAGATGGCACAGATCGATAAATGCCGGAATCACCGTAAGTAGGAAAGGACCCCAAACGCGAGAGATCCAGTCGGATCCTACCTCTTTGTCCTTCAGACCCAAAAGCAAGATCTCTTCCATGAGGGTGAGGCGGATGTCTTTGGAGTCTCCGGAGTCCTCTTCGCCCACAGTCTGGTTGACCACGGCATGTTCTTCATCCTCCACCCGCTTGTCTGCGTTCCTTCCAACTTCCACACGTTTTCCTCGGTGGATCAAAGTTGTCATGGCTTCTCTGCTGGGTCTGTAAGCCTAACGGAAATATAATTGTGTAAGCAGCTGCCGATTGCGCCATCTGAGCTCACCTACCACTCTCAAAGGCCTGAGGGAAGAAACCACAGCAACTCCCCTAATAAGCTATGGGCCCTGCCCCACACTTGACCCAATCCCCACAACCTAGAATGCATTCTCTGTAGGGAAGTGAGGAACAGATCCATGCTCCGAAGACACGATTCCTTCTGTGCACAACTTTCAAAAAACAGCTCGTCTATTACGCTAAGCCACAGTTTGCTCAATCACGATTTAATGAATCAACCACAAGTAAGTGAAGTATCGAATAATGACCACAGGGACTTGAAAACAACAGGCTAATCATTTTATAAAACAACGTACAAGTTTTGCTTATTAGCTTAGCAAGGGTGGATTGCAAGCAAGTTCTAAACTTGGTTTCCTTGGGATCCAGATGTGTTGGACCAGACTTCCCAGAATTCCTACCTCAGTGAGAACTCAGGGACCTGTAGTACCAATATAATCCAAAAGCTATTTTCCCCCCATCTCCTTTTTCTAAATGCTATCCACAGAAAGGATAACATTTCATCCATCTTATAGAGGCAACAAGTTAAAGTCAGAAAGAACTACAGGATGATAGTCCTTATTGAGTAACCATTTTGCCAAAGAACCTGATATAAAGACTCTCACTTTTTTCCCCAGCCAGGTTTTGAGACCAAAGGTAAAAAATGTCTTTTTTAAAGCTATTATAAGTCCATAAAATAGGCAAAATAGGCAGCAGCATCCAAGGCTCCTTCAGGGAGTGCTTAGTCCATGAAAGAGGGCCCAAGCTTGAGCAAACAGGAACCCGGCTGCTGCCTCAGGTGAGAACATCCCCTTGCATGTGATGAAAGAGGAACTGTATATGTGGCAGCCACGAGGCAGAAAAGAAAAGGGTTTGAAAAAGTGGCTTGGCTGTATTCCTGAGCCTCTCCTGTGGAAATAAATCATGGCACATGTCAGTTTAAAAGGTGACCCCCCTTGAGAGGTGGAGGCAGGAAGGAGAAACAAGCCATCCCAACTCCGGTTTCACAAGAAACAAAGCTTCCAGGGGAAAAAGGCTTGAATACACGTGGGATTTTCTCTCTCTCTCTTTCTCTCTCCCCAAATAGAGACCTGGGTTTTCCCTACACCTCAAAGACCGAGGGGGCTGCACGGCCTACCCCCAGCCCCCAGCCCCTTTTGCACAACACCCTCCTCATTTGCAAATCACAGGAAGGGCTGGTTCCCCATTTGGGGGGCGCAGAAGAGAAGCCCGCCACCCCCCCCCCTTCCAACTGCACCTGCCAATGGAAGAAACTGTCCCCCCCTCCCCATGCTATGGCTGCTTTGCTCCCCCCCCCACCAACCCTTACCCGCACTCCTGGCTCTGCCTTCCCAGCTGCTGCTCAGCCTCCCTCCTCGCCCTTCTCCGCCTGGGGCAGCGGCAGCCCCGGTAGCCGACTTCCGGGCTCACCTACGGGGAGGAAGGAGCCGAGAGGAAAAGCCCCAAAGGCTTCTCCCCCATCGCTTCCTGGTGTCCCCGGGAAACGTATCCCGGTAGCCGCGCCGAGGGCCAATGGGAGCAGCGGCAGCCGCGGAAAGCGCCAATCGGCTGCCGGGGGAGGCGGGGCTTCCCCCTCCCTCCCTCCCTTCTCCCCCTCTTCCCCCCCCACCGCGGGCCACTCGCAAACTTGCCAAGGGGGCAGGATGGATGGCCCGGGAGGGGGTGGGACCAGCCCGCCTGATGGACGGGCGCGGCAGCCAATGGGGCCGCGGAGAGTGGCTCTCCGGCCGGCCAGGCAGAGCTGAGGGGAAATCAAGAGGGGGGGGGAAATGGGTCGGTGGGGGCTTGCGAAGGGGAGGGGGGCGGCAGAGTGCCCCGCCGTGAGGGGAAGGCGACGGTTTAAAACATACAATAAACAAACAAACAAACGTAAATAAATAAAATGAAAAATAAACAAATAAACCTGGTCTGTTTCTGAAGGGGCCTTTTTTTCCCCTTCCCACCAAAAGGCGCAGAGGGGCTGAGGAGACCCCCTTCGCCCTCCCTCCCCCCCCACAGACCCGCCTGAGGGAGACCCCGGCCCAGGAAAGGCCGGTCCTGGGTTCCTGAAGGCCCTGAGGGAGCCTCCAGCTGCAGGGGCAGTCTCCCCTCACTGCCGGGTTCCAGGCCTCCACGAGCCCCAGGGAGGCCTAGTGGGTGGCTCCAGCAGGGCCCTTGCGCTGAACAGACCCTGGTTAAATCCTGGCTTGGCCAGGGGGGTCTCTGGAGGCGCTGATTCCACCCAGGCTTGGCCAGAAGAGAGGCCTGGGGGGGGCGCTGAGGAGAAAAAGGCGGGAAAGCTAGGAGGGAGGGGCTCCAGAAGAAGCTCTGGGAGGGGTGCCCCGCTCTCTCTCCCCCCACAGAGCCCCTCCCTGGCGCACTTACTTGGGGGGTCCCCACCTTGCCCGCCATCTTGGGGGGGGCAAAGTTTTTCCCCTCCCCTGCCCCATTTTTGCCCCCCCCGGGCCTGGCTTTGAGGGGCCAAAGGGGGCCCTGGTGGCAGGGAGGGGTCCCAGGCATGGCCCAGGCATCGTCGGGACAGTCCTCGACTTACAGCGGTTCGTTTAGGAACCGTGCGCAGTTACCACCAGACTAAAAAGGCACCATTTTTCCCCCCTAGGGCCATCCCGGCATCCTTGTGGCCGCCGGATCAAAGCTCGGACACTTGGCAACTGACTCGTCTTTGCGACGGTCGCAGAGTCCAGAGGCCGAGGGGTTCTCCTTGGCGACCTTCTGACCAAGTCAACGGAGGAAGCCGATTCCCTTAACGACCGTGTTCCCAAGTTAACAACTCACTTAACCACGGTGGCAGGAAAGGTCATAAAAGGGGGCAAAAATCGCCGAACCGCTGTCTCGCTTAGCAGGAGAAATGTTGGGCTCCGTTGTGGCCGTAACTCGAGGACCACCTGCGACCCCTTTTTTTTTTCCCCCAGCCTGGTGGGAAATCTCTCCCCGTGAAAGGCGCGTGTCTTAAGACAAAATAAAAACAGGAAGCCCCATCAGTGTCAGTGGCTTTAATCTTTTCAAAACACCTCCTTTAAAACTTCCGAAGACCATCAGCCGGGAGAAAAACACGGGAAAAGAAAACGAAAAGCGCCTCTCTAGAACTCTTCCGTGGGCTGGCTGATTTTTCTCCGCTTGGGACTGAGCTCTTGGCTGGAAGAGAAATCCAGAGGATGAACCTGGAGGTGGGGAGGGGGGGGGAAAGCCAAAAAACAGATGTATCTGCTGCAGAATATGAATTGTTTCATGAGAATTCCCTCTTCCTTCTCCTCCCCCCTTTTATTGTTTTCGCTTTCATTTGATTGCAGATAAACTATTAGTTCTTGGCTGAATTGCCGAGCGGAGGAGTTTTTAAGCCAGCGGGTCTGTGAATGGTTTTTCATTTATTCTTACTCATTTCTTTAGATCCCAGCTTTATTATTTTGATAAATAAATCAAGGCGGCAAACATACCTAATACCCCTCCCTCGTTTTAAGGGAAGGTCTTGATGCTACTAACAGGCAAATCTTTCGCTCTCTGAGGCTTAATGAAGTGAAATCAAATACACATTTTAAACCCTGCTTCTCTTTGCAGAGGACGGGGCGCCCAAACAGCCGGGAAAATGTTTGCCCATTTAATACACAATCACAACTGCGATCGCAACTCAGCTTCCCTTTGGAGCTAATCTATTCCAGCCAGTATGTTCTATTACTTCTTTTTTTTTGGGTCCTCTGTTTGCCATTAGATCTGAAAGCGCCACGAGCATTAACAGCCACTCATTTATACAAGGGAAGTGCCAGAACATGTAATTCTTTACTTAGGCTGGAGGTGATGAGAAAAGGTCTGTAAATTCTCAGCCACTGCTGCAAAAAAAAAAGGTGGGGAAAAAAAAAGAGGTGTATTTGGCTGCAATCTGGCCTGCGTTTCACATCATGCAAGCGTGGTTGAACTTTAGAGGACTTATTCTTCGGTAAACATGAAGAATGTGGCATAACGTCAATAAAAACATCGATGGAGATTAAATGGAGGATTCGGCCGAAAAATGCAAGATTGGCCGTCTCCAGCCAACCTGTTTAAGATTTAGGGTATCGTTTCAATGAATGTATGTGCATTTGATTGAGAATTAAGCCTTGCTAACGTTGCGGGAAGTGGCTTGGAATATAAGTAATAAGGTGGATACCGCTATCCAAAATAGGTTGATCCTCCATCAGTGGGGAAGTGAGAAGGGTGGGGAAGTTTATTATTATGCAAAAATACAGATTATTCTATTAAAAAAAAACAACAAGTGGTTGTAGCAGAGGGAATTGTCAGAGAATCCTTGTAAAGTCCCAAACTTTACAAGGCCAAAAAAAGAGACACCTGGAGACTCCTGGCTACCTTTGGTGTCACACCTGTTACATGCACAAATGTGTGGCTGTTCACCTCCAGAACAACTATTCTGGGATGGCTCCAGAGCTTCAAGCAGAGCCAGAGCTGTGCTCAGTGCCATGGATTTGAGCTTGTCACATCCCTGGCTCCAACTTTGCTGGCTTATTTTGCCGAGTGTGTTTCTGACTGTGACTGCGCTCCAAGGCACACTTACCTGGGAACAAGTGTGAGTAAAGAACTGCAAGGCAAATGTGCGGAGACATTAAATGGATGGGCAGCAGTGAGCCTCTATTGTCCCACCAGTCACCCCCCTCCTTTACAAAACTAATATTTCCAGAGGTCAAACTTTCTATTTATTCCGCAAAAATCCTGCTGGGGGGAAAGGCGGGTGGTCTAATTGCACCACAGAAGCACTTACAGGCTTCTCCAGTTCTGAGCTCCTTCTCTTCTGAGCTTCGGCACCCTTTGATGGTCTCTGCTTTGTGTTTTCCACGGCACCCTTGACAGAGACAGAGGAACTGTTACTCTAGAAGAAAAGCCTGCAGACGGCTATTAAGCAGCTCGCGAGGCATCTGCAGGCTGTTACTCTTCCTCAGCTCGTGCTAAAAAATTAATGAGGGGCTCTCTCCGAGTGGCGACAGTGAGGGCAAGCCGTAGCTTGGTCCTGATGACATGTGATTTACTTCCCCTGCTGTACATGCTAAAGGGCACTTCTTAAGTTGCTGATTCTGGCAGAATCTTTCCCACAATGCTTATAGGTGGACAATTTTATATCAATCAGGCATTTGGCTGGTGCAAAGAGGTTTTTTTTTTTTTAGTAGCACTTTGTATGATGGATGAGAGGGCTTGCAAAGATTCAAACTGACCTAAAGGTTCTTTCTGGAACACTTTCTGCTGGAAACTGGGAATTCGGGGTGGGAGTTTTTATAAAACCCACCCCCCCAAAACAGGTTTCACTCCAGTTATTTAATCTCTTAATCAGCACCATTTTCTCTTCACCTTGCAGACAAGCTGGAAGCCTTCCTGGGTCTGATTTGACTTCATACGTTTTCATTAAACAGTTGGTGTGGAGACCAGAAGAGACACTGAGGGCTGCTACTTAGCTATGCTCAAATTTTCCGTCTCGGATCCTAGCTGTCCAAATTTAAAGTCAGCCTACTAGCCTAAGCAACTTAGCATGTGGTCTTAAGACATTCAGAAGAAAAGACCAGTGGGAGGATAAAATAATATCATGGATTGCAGGAAAATTTGTTATAGGAATTAATATTTTCATTAACAAAGTCAACCCAGTTATGGGAACAGTAACAAAATGGAGATACCAGGAAAGTAATTCAAATTTAGGACAATAAATTAAGAACGGTTAGTACTAACAATCACTGTCGTGCCTGCGTGACTATCAGTTTGATCTTTTAAAAGAATGCATGTTTAAGAATAAAACGCTTACCGTCTTTCGCTGAAATTTCTTTCCGCTTCGGGTTCTGCTCTCGGTGACTTCAAGTTCTGATGTCTTGCTTATTAAATGATCCACCTAAAAAGAGTTAAACTACCAAATGGTTACTAGCTAAACTTTAACAGACCACATTTCTGCTTTTTTCAGGCTGAAGAGTCACGTACCACAAGGAACAGGTGTCACAGATTTTTTTTTTCTCCATAAAAAGGCTTGCTTCCTCTCCCCTTTGCGATACAATCCTCAGCTTCAAGTAGCTGAACCCGTTTCCTTATTTTATCCCGTGGAGAAAGCAGAGATGTTGGAGAAGAAAACGGAGCTTTGTACCTTAGAATTACTGATGGGGCAGCTCTGATGTTCTTCTGTGATTTGCTCTTCCTCTGTGCAAATTAGGTTTTGTTCTGAAAAGGATTATGCAATTCTTCAGAAAACCGAATAAACGATAATTAAACTTTTGAACTGCCTTAATACATTTTCAAAATTAAGCAGAAAGGGCTGAGAGGCTGCGGTGTGGCACATTTGTTCCTCTCCCTCCATTTCCCAAGGCTAGCAAAGTCTCTGGGGTAGCTAAATGTTACCTTATCCATGTGTATAGTCTGGGGAAAAACAGTCCCAACTTAATCTGCATCACCCAGAGTCACATGCATGAGACAGACAACTCTATAAATTCAATAAAACAAACAAATTATAATGAAATGGAAGCAAAATGCTTTCCAGACAGAATGACTTTTTTCACGGGGGCAGAATTTAACCCATAATATTTGTATCATCTTTCTGGAGGGGAAAAGAAGTATTTGAGTATTTGTTTCACTATTTTCTTTTTAAACCTCATGCTTATTTTTTAATGATTCAGACGTTCATTAAAGGCACTGAGTTCACAACTTCATCTGATGCACACACAAAAAAAGCAAGGCAACGGAGATGACTACCTAGTTATTCTGATACAGAAAAAAAAAATCCTATGCCATGTGTACCTTCAGGGCACAGCTTCCTGCTTGCGTTGTTCTGCCCTCCTGTTTTATTTTCCAGCACAAAATCTTCCTGTGTAAAGTACACAAACAAGAATGTCTTCAAATGGAACTGATCTGGTGATTTTGAAGTGAGGTTATTGTAATAGTAATAATAATAATAATAATAATAATAATAATAATAATAATAATAATAATAATAATAATAATAATAATAATAATAATAATAATAATAAAAATAAAAATAAAAATAAAGTTGGAAGGGACCTTGGAGGTCATCTAGTTCTATTGTGACCTACTACAGAACATAAAACAGATTCCTTCAAGCATACAAATAAATCCCAACACTCTTACATCCATTTTTTGGTCCTGGCCTTCATGAAGATGCCAGCCTTGGACGGAAGCAAGGGAGGAGTCCTCCTTCAGGATGGCTTTGTCCACACGTTCCATGCGGTCCTTCTCGGTGGTCACTTTCACTTTCAGCATATGGAAAGGGGTGGGAACCTCCCCAACATTGAGGTACATCGGCTCCCCCTCCAAGACCATCCCTTCGCAGTCGCCCTCTTTGAATCCAGGGGGCTGGTAGTCCGGAGGTGTAACTGGAAAGAAGATAATCCAGGCTCTGCCATGAGACATGTTAGTTACTTTGATCTACCCCCCTCGATAGACGATATTTTAAAGATTTTAAAGTTACCTTCATCATAATAGAACAACTTCATGGTCAAGCAGACGTTATCAGGCAGCGGGCCCAGGTTTTGCATCAGGATGTAAATCTTGCGGATGAGCAGGATACTTGCTTTCTTAGTGTCCGCGCATGTGATGCTCGATTGACTCTGCTGACTAAAAGCACAAAGTAGCCGGGAGTTGTGTTACCAGGCCAAATAAGTTCATCACCCTCCCCTAAAAAAAAGGAGGATCCTGAAGTTTTTAGCTTTCTTCCCAAGGCCAGTTTGTAAACTCAGTTCTACCCAAGTTGTTCCCTTGTGCCTAGCTGTGTCTGCAGACGAGGGGTACCCCCAAAGAGAGCACAGCAAGGGCAGCAAAACAGTTCTTGGCAAGGAGGTCTAGGGAAATTAGACACAAACAGAGGGGTTTATAAAAGTGTGCAAGATGTGGAGATGTTACACAGAATTGTGCGTCTCTCTTGAACGTGGCATTGTGCAACACAACCTGATTCAGCATCACACACCAAAGGCAGGATGCTTTCACAGAAGGCCACGATCTAATTTATGACAATTGCTCCATAGGATGTGGTGTTGTTCTTTCCACTCGCTTAAGTAGCTTTAAAAGGGAATTAGTCAGATTCATCACGGGAGATAAATCTATCAGGGAGGACAAACCAGGAAGGCTGGATGGGACCTAAAAGGTCAAAGGGCATATGGGCATGAATACCAATTGTGGGGAGTAGGATGAGGGGGCAAGCCTGCCTTTCCGACAGCCTCTGGAAACAAAATGCTGGGCTTTATTCATTCTTGCATGATGAACTAGGGGTCTTCTTAATTCTAGCAGGCAAGTCTGTGTTTGCAACTTTTGTATTTCTGCAGAATTTGGGAGGTGATCAAAGACCACTATTTTCATAGTATTTGTTGCAACAATCCTATTTAGACTTTGTAACAAGCCAACTGTTAGTAGGCAATTGTTATGAAACAAATGTGCATTTTCCTTGTCAACAAACACACCTGGGTTAACGTTCAGTTTCCAAAATCAAAACATATATTTCTCCACACTTTACTGGGACAAATAGCTAGAAACATATTTTACTGGAGTTCTTTGATGAAGAGGGAAAAATAAAAGCATACCTTCTGAAATCCATTGAAGGTCCTTTGTTTGTGTATTTGAACTTAAACTGGTAACATTCTGTAACCGTCTAATACAAAATGCAGCAGTTATTTATCTAGCACTCAGAGGGAGAACTGTGAGTGAAATGACAGAATCAAATCTATTTTGCAATGCCAAGAAATAAATGTTAAAGCCTTGTGCATAAGATTAATTTTGGGAACAGCATTTTGCACACACAAAAATAAAAAAGTAGGTGGTTTCTCAATGATCCAACTAAAACTATAAGGATGCAAAAGACCCAGTCTTCAGTATGTTTACTATAATATAATACAGAAGTAGGGTGACACCTAGTGGGTTTCTGGCACTGTTATTTTCTGTGTCAAGGAAAGTATTTTTGATAAGGAAAAAAGAATTATTTTGTTCCCCAAGAACAAAAGAGCACACATTTCCTTATCTAGTACTGATGGTTCCTTTTATCTTGATGTTAGATTCCATGCAGAGCTCTAAGTATCCACCTTTATCATAATGTTCTTTGTAATAAATATCTTTATAAGAATTTTAATAGATGTTTTGATCTAAATCAAAGCATCCAGTCACAAAGTTTGTAAAAAATGACATGGAAGACATACCTGGGGATCCTCCTGGTTGGTGTAGACCTATATTCAACGATAAACAGCAAAATGAAAATGAGGCCAAGAAAAAGGAAAACTCTCTATGGGATATATGGGATATATCTTTGCCAAACTTACTGCTAAGACGATTAATCTGAGCTGTTTAAAAGACAAGGAAGAAAGAAATTGATATTAGAAGCGTTTTCATACTTGTAAAACCAGGGCCCATTAGAGATAAAATGCCAACTTACATATTTTTTCTGCAGGGCATCATAACATCCTAGCATCCTGCAAAAATCAAATAAGATTGAGGCTTTAAGTTTAGCTTTTGGATGCATGAACTGAAAATACACTTTAAGTGTATTAATTGAAACGAAAAATATGCAGTGGTGCCAGACTATGCAACTCTTTCCATATAATACTCATGACTGTTTTACCAATCTTTCTCCAGTAAAAGTGTCATTCTTTTTCTGCTGGTCACCCCTGCCAGAGGACACAAAGCCACTGGAAGTTGCATCTGGTAGAAGACATACCATTTCACGAGCTGGCTGGACCCGGGGCAGTTTTTATCCTCTTTTAGGATCTTCACGCAGAGATCTTGAAAGACACAAACAAATCACCTGCATTAATTGCAATTAAACTTTTCACTGGCTAATCTAAAATATTTTGCTTCTATAAAATTTGAGTTCTAGACCCTGTTGCCTCGTTTGATGGCTGGTTGGGTGAAGCCAAGGACATCACCCTCATGATGTCATTGTGCAGAGAAATGACATCATCTGTATGATGTCATCATGCACCTGATTAGGAGATTCAGAGATCCAGATCTTTCCATGCAGAATATGCCGATAGCCCTACACCCCATAGTCTTGAAAAGGGAACTATTTTTAAAAAACTGGTCCATAAGAAACGAAACCACCCTTCCCTCCTCCCCAGAAAGGTTTCAGTTATTTTAACTTCCTGCTGTTGGCCAGCCTAGTAAAAAGTTCATACTGGTTTAGAAAATTTTAAAGTAACTTTTTCCCTTTCATATGCAATATGTTTTTTTAAAAAACACCTTAATGTTGTTACTTGAGCAGGATTGATTCCTTTGCAAGCCAACCTATCCCTTTATATCAGGGGTGTGTCCAAGCTTGCAATTTTAAGACCTGTGGACTTCAACTCCCAGAATTCCCCAGCCAGCCAGGCATGGCTAGGGAATTCTGGGAGTTGGTCCAGAAGTCCACATGCATGGGTGGCTAGGGAATTCTGGGAATTGAAGTCCACAGGCCTTAAAGTTGCCAAGCTTGGACACCATTACTTGATATATTTTCTTGCATGCATTTAAATGCATTTTTTTTTCCTGAGAAAGGACTCTCCAAGGAGTCCCTGGGACCATCGAAGGTGGAGAAGGGCTTCTTCTCAAAGGTCCATCTTCTCTTCTGGAACCTCCATGTTCTTCAAGCTTTCCACATCCTTCCAAAACCCTTTTCCAGCAGGGTTTCTCCTTCTTTTTGCCCCAAATACGTGGAAAGGGCATTACCATCCAAATATCTCGTCCCATAGGCACTTTCGGGCAAAATGCCCCTGAGATAGGTGATGCAGGAGACGGAGATGGCCAATAGCCGCTTCACCAACATGAGGGATTGCTGTTCGGTCGCAATTTTGGTGGGGAATATGGCTGCAGTCTGGAAAAAAAAAGAAATCCTTGATCTTCCAGGACAAATGATCCTAGATTTCGATCCTGGGGAGATCTGCCATGAGGCACCTCACACCTACCACAGGATTCCTTTGCTTTTGCAAAGTTGCCATGCCCTTTTCCAACAGGATGTTGCAATCCTCTGTTGATAAAAAAAATAAAAGGATTGGTTAGTCCTGGATTGTTGAGAAGAAAAGAATTAGGGGAAATGGTCCAACCTGGGGATGTTTATGGCTGTGTTCCCACAATGCACAAAGCCATGGATGTCCAACCTTGGCAACTTTAAAGCTTGGGGCCTTCCAACTCTCAGAATTCCCCAGCCAGCATGGGAATTCTGGGATTTAAAATCCCCAGGTCTGAAAATTGCCATTTTGGATGCCTCTACCCTAAGCCATCATTCTAGTTGCCAAACCAGGATGGCTAAACAGGTTGGGGAAGGTGGCCTTCAAGTAGAACCAGTTTTGATGGGAGCAATTATGTGTTCCTGGAATAAATGTGTCAGGATCTATTGTTGTGGAGATGCCAGAGTTTCCATAAGTATGGCTCTGGAGAATTCCATAGTCCACCATCTTTTTCCCCCTTAGGAACCCAAAGTGGCTGCCCTGTTGTGAAAAGCCAGCTGGTGATGGATGCTAAATGGATCTACCAGACCCTCCTGGCTATCCTCCATTTTTGCTGCCTTTCCATTCTTAAGGGAAAGAGAAAGCTTGGCCCCAGAGGGGGAACCAGGGTTAGTCTTTGCCATCTTGTTCATCATAAAGGTTCAAGATGGCAATCAGGAGCCAGTGGATGCAACGGGGGGTGGGGGGGACAGAACCGGCCATTCTCCTTATACCCAGCCATCATGGCCGACGCAGGAGAGGAGAAATTGGATTGCCTGGTTGGAGGGATCTGGAACCCACATAGCTCAGCCAGGAACTAAAATAAGATAACACTTATTATTGTGTGTTTTCTAAAAAAAAAAAAAAAAAGACGTTGGGAAAGGGGAAAGAAGGCACACCGTGAGGGGGGAAAATGGCCACCTTAGGCTGCTCCCTCCCTCAAACCCCGAGGTGCGTTTTCACCTTTCCCGCCTTTTTCCCTCAGGTAGCCCAACAGTTGCCCCCTCCCCCACCCCTGGCCTTTCTCGCCTTTTTTCAAACAAGGCGTGGCTGCTGATTGGAGCCCTGCCCAATGACGTCATGTGGGAGGACATCACGTGCCTACGATATCATGCTTGTATATGTTTAAAATTAGGTATTATTTATAAAGATTGTTTATTTATTTATTTGTAATCAAGAAAGCACAGCAACCGGGTTTTCACATCACACCAAGCCACATTTTTCTTGAACGTGCATTGCCTTTAATAATCTTTAATACAGGGCCAAGGTTAAATCTGGGCTTTCGGATTAAATTTCAACCAGGTTCAGGAAGGATCCAGCATACGCTGCAAGAAGAACCAAATCTCTGGAGATTTTCAAAAGAAGATTGGGTGGCCATTTGTCTGGGGTGGTATAATAAGGTCTTCTGTCTTGGGCAGAGGGTCAGACTAAATGACCTCCCAGGGTCCCTTCCAGCCCTAGGATTCCATGTTGTACTCCATGCAGTGGCTCCCAGCAGTGAAAATGTTCTTTTCTTCCTCATGTTAAATGAATCCGAAGTTCAACTTGTATGCATTTGACTCTTTTCAGGCGAGAAACCGTCTCACAAATGGCCGAACCTTAAAGACGACTTTGCTTTACATTCTTGAATGCAGATTCTGGACGTTTTCAGGTGGCCCGAATGGAAATCCCAGACAATTACCCAGCGCTCTTTGGTTGTTCAAAGCAGATTGGCAGACATTACCTGATTAACTGATTAAGCCTGGCGGTGCCCCTGAGATCGTTAGCAAATTCTGAACTAAACCCAGATAAACCCTCATATGGGCTGCTTGTCTCAGATCTACCAAGTGGAGCCGAATGGAAGATCTGGGTTTTGGCGATCAATCACTCTTCCCAAATGCAACAGTTAGATTTATATATATATATATTTAAAGGCTAAGATTAGCTGCCTAATAGGGCTCCTCAAACGAAGAAACTGCAAACTGAAGATGACGCCATCTAAATTAGCGGATAGGAGCAGTAGCTGGCGATGCCGCAGCGATTCCCTTGATTTCTTGCAATTTTAATATAGCCTTCTTGGCCAAAATAGATTCCCCAACTGTTGGAATAAAAAGAGGAAAATAATGAGTATATACTTTAGGAATGAGTTTTCTTAAGTGAGGTGTCCAAATGAGGATGCAGTGTTGTGGGTTGGGAATGCCACTGATATTCTTCAAATTATATAGGATTTCTCTGGCATCTTTGGACAGTTAGATGCTTTGATTGACAAGGGGCAAAAATAGTCAAGATGCCAGTGCAATCTATAAAGGAGTGGTGGCCTCTTGCAAGCTGCATCCTCATACCATACTAAAGGAGGAGGAGGAGGAGGAGGAGGAGGAGGAGGAGAATTTTGATATAATGCAATGTTTGACTACAGTCTGCAGAGCAAGGGTGTGTCAAAAATAATTTGGGTCTCTGCTTTTCTGCTTGAGAAGTCCTTAATATGGGTTATAAATCAAAAGATTTGAAAAAAATATCCACCACCTCAATCCATTTAAAATCTATTTTTCCTGGCACAAAAGCGGATCAGACGTTGTAAATAATCTCCCTCCAGCACCCTTACAAGCAGACAGATGCTACTAAATCTTCTACTGTCCCTAAATTAATTCTTCCTAGTTATGATGCTTGTTTGCAGGAAAGAATGCTGCATTTATATCTAAGACCAAAGCATCTTAAAACAACTATGCCCAGTCCTTAATTCTGGTTTAGCCCCTGAAACTGCCCAAGGGCTGGCATACCTGTTCTTCACAAGCCAGTAATCCATGCCATTCTCCTTTCCGTATCCAACCACGACGACACCATGATTCAAATGCTGACTCGTACATCTGGCGTCATTATAAACTCCTGTTTGGAAAAAAAAATTGGAATCACTTCTAAATGTTTATCGGGAACCCAGGATCCCAAACTCACAAAACTGAATCTTGTTCATTTAACAGATCAACATAAATGGGGACATGTTTCCTTCTGGGACTCTCCGTGTGTGTGTGAATGTTAAGAACTCACCCTGCTTATACAGAAAGAACGTCGGTTGATTTGCATCGATGGCCACTGACACCGGTCCAATTCTGGCTACAGCATCCTGTAGATAAGTCTCATTTCCAGATGGAAGCAAGATATATTTAGAGCAGGTAGCAGCTCGTGCAGAGGGATTATAGCGGCAGAGCCCATCCTGCAGGAAGCAGGGAAAAGTTCAAACTGATTTTTCCTCCTGAGTAAATCCACAGATTTGTGCCCCACTCAATCCCAGTGCTTTTCCCTCTGGCTTATTTCTTAAATAATTGTCGTTGGGAGGTGCTAAAATTTATGGCTGGGACTCAGCCCAACTTCGGTGACTGTAAAACATAAATGCATGTTGCATTGGGTGTCTTGCAAAAAAAACAAGATTTTAATTAAAGTAAAATAAATGGGTCTGGAATCATGATAAGCATTTCTCCACCTCAGTTTGGTCAGCAAAAGCATGATGAGGGATAAAGCATGCAATTTTTATAGTGGTGATAAGGATTGAGAAAACCTGTTAAAATACCACTGCTTGTAATTGATGGCTGATTCATTCGTTTATAATTTGATTCTGCGACACAGTCACCTCTTTCTTTGCTTCAAAAAGTGCAGGTGCCCTCTTGATAATGCTCCATTTGACGTGAGCGAAACAAGAAATATCTCTTTTAAGATGGAGCAGCCACACATTCTGAATTATTCCGCGGGGGTTTTTCCCCCCCCTTAAAGTTGGATGATTACACAGAAGCCCAAATGGAACTTATGGCACAATCCTATAAATTAAGTTTGGAACAAGTAGCAAGGGCTTATTTATGCCGCTGTGCGTAGGATTGCAACCTCTGTTGAGGAAGTCAGGGAAATGATTAAAGGCGCCAGCTTTAATGCAAACCATCATGAAAGGAGACCAAAGAGAGACCGAGTTTAGACCAGGATTGTCCAAACTTGGTAACTTTAAGATCTGTGGACTTCAACTCCCAGAATTCCCCAGCCAGCCATGCATGGCTGGCTGGGGAATTCTGGGAATTGAAGTCCACAAGTCTTAAAGTGGCCAAGTTTACACACCCCTATTTAGAACAAGTTTGCAAGCAGTCTCTGCAACGATAACCATACAAACCTTGGCCTTATATGGATAGGAAGCTTCGGAGTTGATGCCTTTATTATCTATGATATACTGGAAAGCAGCAGGCATATAACCTCCGTTACAGCCATGGTTCCCATAGAAGCTGGAGCAATCGACGAGATTCTGTGGGCTAAGCGACACCAGTTTCCCAGTCATGAGTTTTAACTGAGTTTCCAGGGCACCAACAGCACTAAAAGCCCAGCAAGCGCCACACGAATACTGAAAGATAGAGGTGGTCAAAATCAGTTGCACAAAAATGCCCTGAACAGACCAATGGATGTTTAAAAGTCCTTCTCACCTGGTCTTTAACGCTCGTGACAAATCCTTTGGCCTTCCAGTCTACGGAGTCAGGGAGGCGAGTGCCTACGATGGACGTGTGCGACGTGGAATTTCGGTTCCACCAGGATGGGATTTTCAAGCCGGTCAGGAGCAACGACACTTCCTCATTGGTCTGTAGAAAGATCAGAAATGCGTGCATTAATTTAGCCAAAAGAAGGAATAACAGAATAGCAACAGTGTTGGAAGGAACCTTGGAGGTCTTCTAGTCCAACCTGATTGCAGAAGTTTCCATCACCACAAAATACACCTGAATATATATATTTTTTATCCTCCCTAAAAAAATTCAAGCCGCTATACTCTTTAATCCTCACAATTCACATTTAGTATCATTTTTAGTCCTTCCCGGCATCTAATACGTGTAATTACCAAGCCCACTTAAATATCCATTAAATAAATCAACATCACCAACCATATCTCCTAGGTTATTCATGCCAAGTTCGTAAGAATGCATGCCAAGTGAATATTCGAGATTGTGTAGTGCGATAAATTGTGCGTTCTTTTCCCAAGTCATTCGGCGCTGCTCTTCCTGATTCTAAGAATTAAAGCAGAACTCACAATTAGCCTACAAGAAGATCTTGCTTATAAAAAGAATTGTGTGCTTCTTATTTTTATCTGCAGGAGCTACCGCTGAGCGCTCTTACCTTGTTTTCGTAATCTTTGCCATATTTTTTCCTCCATAATTCCCAGCACTTGTTCAGCTTGGGGTCCCTATGCCACTGTAGTTCAGATGCAACGATAACACAAAAGGCCAATAGCCAAATGTGTATCTCCATCCTGTTGAGATGTAGGAACCACTCAAATTTGGAATGACAACATAAGCTTGAGAGAAGATTGACTTGCAACCACCCCTGGTGTCCATGACTTATATGAATCGTAACGATGATCCATCACAGTCTGTGATCACCCTGCATTTCTTCAAGTCAGGGCACGCCAGAGGAATGATTGTTTAACTCTGTTTGCCAATGACTAGCAAGTCAAGAAGGAAAAGCCCATTTATATAGTTGAAGTGCTGAATATTTATGCTCTTAAGAACATTCTTTGCACAATGCAACAATGGCGTTCAGTCAGACGTTTGTACAATCTTGAAGCCACAAGACCTAATGTCCGTTTTGGTTAAATTAGTGGAGACATCATGCAATTTTCCAACACCACTCTGATAAATCTACTCCTGAATATACTTTAACAAAGGAATCTTGCGTTACTTCTTACAAAGAAATCACTGAGTTTGCTCACAATGCAAGGAAGATAAAGCACTATTTCATTTATTTGATAAAAAAAATTATACGGCCTCCCAACTCACTCAGGGTGACTCCAAAAGTAAAGCAAGCAATAAGTTGAACGGTCACTGGAAGATGGAGAGACTGCATCCCAAATAAATATTTTAATGATGTGAAAAAGTTTCTTATCCACCACATTTCTTGTCAAGTCTGGTGTGAAATTGGAGAATATCGACTTTGAATTAGGAAATTGCTTGGAAAATATGCCAAGAATCAAGGAGATAGATCTCCTTTGTATCTCCAGTTTCTTAAACCTAATGCATCTTTGCGAATTAAGACCCGGCTCATATTTAATTTTTTGCAAAAACATATAACTCTCAAAATAGGACTCAGTAACAACAGGAAAAATCGAAAGTAATTAATCAGTGAAAGTGTCTTGGCTGGAAGTTCCTGTCAGAATCCAGGTTTGGTAGCAAATTCCTTGTTCCCCCCACCCTTGTTAGATATGAACCCCTGATGAAAAGATATCCAGTATTATCAAGAGATTCAAAGCTAAAAATTAACGTTCTTGCAAATCTCTTTTGATGGAAAAAAACAACTTTCTCACCCGGCTCAAAGGAGAACATGACCTGTTTCCTACCTGAACATCTTTCAGCTGGCTGACTTTTCTAAATCGTAGTCATCCAATCTCTGACCCCCCTCAGAGAGTAATTTTCTCTTTTCTGCCAACTGTTTGCTAACTCCGGAGCCGAACACCGTCGCTCATTGCGGAAGCAACCGCCAAGTGCTGGTGCCAACGGGAGACAATCAATTTATTACCCTTGTCACATGAGCCTGCCCCACACAAGGAAACGGGCGGTGATTTTCACTTTCAGTCAAGCCCAAAATGATCTGAATATTCTCCGTTTTTGCTTGCTGGGGTTTACCAAGCTTTTTGCTCACCGTTGAAGCTTGAGAAGAATGCCAGGTTAACCTGAGATTTTGCCCAGGAAGACCAGAGGGGTTGGTTTCATGTTGAAAAGACTGGCTGCTCATGGGCGAGCATTAACACACACAATCTTCCCATCTCTGGGTCTCCTCATTGTGTGAGGAGTGTGTGACCTTGGTAAGATGTGTGGACTTCATCTTAAAATAGGCCCATCCCAGCTAGCCCTAAAGCTAGGGGACTGGAGGTTAAAACATATGAAGAACGGTTGCAGGAGTTGGGTGTGTCTAATTTAATGAAAAGAAGGACTAGGGGTGACAGGATAGCAGTCTTCCAATATTTGAGGGGCTGCCACAAAGAAGAGTTGGGGGTCAAGCTGTTCTCCAAGGCGCCTGAAGGCAGGACAAGAAGCAACGGATGGAAACTAACCAAGGAGAGAAGCAACTTGGAACTAAGGAGGAATTTCCTGGCAGTTAAGAACAATTGATCACTTTTAGCTTGTGAGTGCTCCAACATGGAGGTTTTAAAGAAAAGACTGGTAACTTATTTTGTCTGAAATGGTATAGGGTATCCTGCTTGAGCAGGGGTTGGACTAGAAGACCTCCAAGGTCCCTTCCAAGTCTATTATTCTAGATATTCTTTCTCTGATTACTTTCTGGATTCGGATCCCGTGTTTGTAAGTCACAGCTTACTCCCGGGTGTGGGGGTGGACCTACCCAATCATGATTTATTGGTCAACTGCCCTGAAGAGTTCATGCACCACACAAGTCCATATGCAATTGAGCCTTAGTGCTGGGATGTGACAGTGCAGAGTAAGAGGTTTGAAGCCAACTGCTGTTGTGAGAATGTTTTGTCAAGCACATCTTGCTTTCGGCACAACTGAAACAGGAGCTACAAAGCTACAACTTTCCGCGCATTCTGGGGCCAAAGAAACTCATGGCTAGCTCAGGCAAGAAGACCCCAGAGGTCACAATTTACCCCCCAGGCCTTTCTGCACAAGGGGTTGTGAGTGAAAATGCACGAACTTCTTTTTACTCGAAGAGATGCAGCTGGTAACTACCAAAAGGAACAGAAAAGAGGAACAGAATTTGCAAGTGGATCCTCCCTCCAGCTGCAAAACCCCAACCAAAGGGGGGACCTCACATCCCCCCAGACAACAGCTGGTCAGGATGGGCAAAGGCACCATTTACGAAGATCGTCCTGGGAGCAGGTGAATTTGGGGAAAAGAAAGCCACGCACAATCAAAAATATCTTATTTTAGTGAACCGTCACACATAAATGTTCTTGCTTTGCACCTGGGTAGTTTTTCATTTTTCCTGGGTGGTGGTGGAAGGAATTATTTTTATCTGTTTCCTCATTTGGATGCTTGTAAGAAGAATGCACGTATTCAGAGAAAAGCTTCCTGGTTTGCACAATTGGAGGCGGGTGTGTAAAACCCGTTCCCTCGTTTCTTAGGCCCCCGTTTTCCTTTCTCCCTGTCACAACTTCCAAAGGCTGTCTGGGGAATAGACTTTCTCTGTCCTTGCTAGTAGGAGTGTGACCCCAATACTGGTTTTCTTTGCAGATACCCCCAACCTCTAGTAGAGATCTAGAAATTAATATAATCCAGTTCCAGCAAATTGGTCTCTGCACAAGTCAACCCAATTCGCAGCAGTAAATTTATGAGCAATAGTGAGGAAGTGAAACAACACAACCTCAGCTTAAGGCAGGGCTGTCCAGCCTTGATGACTTCAAGACTTGTGGACTTCAACTCCCAGAATTCCCCAGCCAGCCATGCTGGCTGGGGAATTCTGGGAAGTTGAAGTCCACAAGTCTTAAAGGATTCTCCTAGTCCCTCCTCAGATTCTTGATTAAAAGAGGCAGCAATACACTTGAAGGTCTCTCTCGCATCTGCCTCTCCGTTTTATTTAATTTATTTAGAAAAAAATCTAGGCCACCCCCCTCACTCTCAGCGGGGCTTACAAAAACGATGACTATTTTTACTAATTTTTTTAGCAGTTCTTATTTCGGAAGCCAAGAAAATACTTCAGGACCAAGGTTTGGCCTCTGGGTTTTTCTATTTGACAGCTACGCCTCTTTTGCCAAGAAGAAAAAAAACGCAGCAACAATTTATTTTAAAAAACTGGAAGATTAAATCTTTTTAATACGCTCTCAACGCTGCTTATGAAGTCAAGGCTGACGTATCAGCAGTCCCTTATGTAGCCTCGGGAATCCAGCCATCGACCAACGAAGGACCGGGACCTGCCATCGGATTTGGCCACCGACGTTCACATCTTTGGGAAACTGGCTAAATTTGCAATTCCACAAGCGTTGTCCATATTCCTGGCCATGAGGACGTAGCCTTTGTCACCCCACTCTTCCCCCCAACTGTGGACAGAAAGAGAGAGAGAGAGAGAAAAAAAAATCAGAATTCTAAGTCTCCACCAGCTTCTCCGTTCGGTTGTCCGGCTTCATGGTGATAAGTGACATCTGGATTATGAAGTTTTTATTTCTGACCAGTACCGTTTTTCTTTCTTAATTTGAGGCAGGTTAATTACTTATTATTTTTTTTTACACACAGCCTGTTGCATTATGGTTTGTCCATGGTTACCCACAGCAAAACACAGGATTTGGTGCCCCAGAAGATTATTTGTGGCATAAAATGGGAAGTAAATAAAGCCGTACCTGTTTTTCACGATCCAGTGCTTGGTACCCTTTTGGGTCCCATAACCCACTGCCAGGACGGCATGATTGATGTTACCGGGGTTGCAGTTTTCGTCGTAATACACCCCTAAGAAAAATGAGAAAGAGAAGGGTCTTCAACTTTGGAGAAGCCAACTTCCTTTTTACAGCCAGATTATGATCCCCTTTGGGGCGTGGGGAGATAGATGAGGCTTCTCTTGACATCTCAGGATGAGTGGAGAGGGACATCTCTCTAACAGCAATGAATTAAAATCCACAGAGGGACGGGGAAGGTTTTGGGGGGTCAAATTAAGCCGAATGCAATCTAACTGAGATTTTTCCCGACTCACCTCGGCTGTAGAACTGGAAGGATGACAAGCTGGCATCGATGCCCACCGAAACGGGACCGATCCGGGCCACGGCCCTTTTCAGAGCCCGCTCGTTGCCTTCCGGGATCTCTCTGAAACCGCGGCACTTGGCGGCCTTGCCCGTGGGGTTATACATGCAATTTTCATCCTACGGAGGAAAAAAAACAATGGATTTCTACTTCCGCTCTTCTTTCCTTTATAAACAAATCCTTTCAAGGCTGACTCCGTCTCTTCAGGTCTCCTGCCGCTGGAGACCTGCAAAACCATCTTCTCACCGAGCACCCTCCCAATTCTGTCCAATTCCTCCCTCCTCCACCATTTAATTAAATTAATTGAGGTGACTGTTGGCCTGTGGAAGGTCTCAAATCAAAACAGCCCCGTTGTTTTTTTTTCCAATTTGCCACAACGGACCAATGTGCCGCCGGCATTTTAATGGGTTAAAATGGGTTCCGACGCTGTGTCTGGTCCATTTCGGTTGCACAAAATTATTTAGGGTATTTTATTGGGGGGGGGGTCTCCCCTTTCCAGAAGGCCAACGAGCCAAGAGGGACGCTGGTTGAGACGGGAGGCAAGGCCACCCTACCTGGCCAATGTAGGGATAAGAGTCGTCCGAGTCGATTCCCCGGTTCTCCTTCACGTACTCAAAGGCGTTGGTCATGTAGCCCCCACCACAGCCGCTGTTGCTGGTGACGCAGTCGACAAGGTTTTGGGGGCTCAGGTTGAGCACTTTGCCTGTCTTCTTCTTCAGCTGCCCCTCCAGAGCGCCCGCCGAGCTGAACGCCCAGCACGATCCACATTGGCCCTGCCAAGGAAGAATGGGGCAATGAAGTCTGCAACTTCTTTACACAGGTGTGTGAGAGTTTTAGGGATGGTTTTTTCCAATGAGCGCCGTGAATTATTGATCTGCATCTAAGAAAGTGTTGTGCAAAAAGCAGGGAATCCCTTTTGAGAGGCTGGTGAATTTTTATTCTTTCTGCCTCTGGGAATAAATTATTTTAAATAAGTCAGAATCGGCTCTCCGTCTCACTGTCTCTCTCCTTGTCTAAGCCGCGTCTTAGAAGTTTATTTTTATTTAACTTCAATTCTATTCAGTGTATTTGACGCTCCAGTTCTGTCTGCCACTGGATCCTTTACTCCTTATCCTTCCTGATCGCCTCTGAGGACCAGGGGATGGTCTGATAGATCCCTTGGTTGCCAAAAGGGAATCTGATTGTGATTTTAACTCATTAGAAAGCCAACTTTGGCGAGAGCGGACAGGGAAGGTCCACGAAGGAAGCTGTAATGGTCCAGCCCAAAAGGATGAAACACACAAGGGAATCCCTTGACAGAGATGCCACTGGACCTCCATCAAACAAACAGCTGCCCTTGAAAAGGGTCTGAGGGGCCTTACCTGGTTTTTGACTGGGGTTACGTAACCCTTTTTCCGGTAATCGACAGAATCTGGAACTCTCTTCTCCCAGTCAGGAATGTAAAGGGTCTCATTATTTGGGGTACGCGACGGGGGGACTTTAAGCCCCATCATCTTCTGAACGACCTCCTCGCTGGTCTGCCGACGGGAAAAAGAGGAAGGGAAAGAAAAGGGAAGAATACGGGACGCTGATCTCCTTTGATAAAGTCGGGGTCCAGTTCATGAGACCACAAAACCACCTGCTCAGAATTGTTCCCTAAGCCTCCATAGATCCCATCATCCCCAGTGACAATTCCACCCACCTCTGAATTCCTAAAACGATGCAGAGGGGTCTTAACTGTCCTGAAGACCCAGGGTCTAGATTTGTGATTGTCTCTTTAACAGGCTAGGGGCTGGACTAGAAGATCTCCAAGGTCCCTTTCAACTTTGTTACTCTGTTAATGCTGTTCTCGGGTGGGAAGATTAGGGAGATGTGCCAGGCACCCCCCCCCAACTTCCTGAGACAGAAACAGGAAATGCAAATGAAGAGGCCAAACATTGTTTTTTTCAACTAGCACAAGGGCACAATTTTAATTCTACAGCATCGTATCATGGCGCGAAGGACATTATTTTCCCATTTTGACTGCTGAACAGAGGAATTGTTGCATCTTACCATGTCTCCCAAGTGGTTCATGGCCAACTCAAAAGTGTGTCTTCCCAGGGAGAATTCCAAATTATGGGTGTTGATGTATTTCAGGTTTTTCTCCCAGATGACCCTCCGGGAAACTTCTTCCATCTGTTAAGGTGCCCAGGCAATAGTCAGGCTCAAAGACACAACCGACATCCACGTGGCAAAACGGGTCTTTTTCGGATGGATTCCTGAAAGTTACTCAGGGAGCATTTCTATGCCCCACTTGCGGAAAAACAAGGACAGTCCCCCCCCCCCAAGTTTTCTTTCGCTTACACAAGAGTTTGCGCAACGCTTTTTAGAGGCAGAAATACAAGCCTGGGAACAAATTTGATCTATGGCACACCACCAGAGGTAGAACTGGGTAAGTGTTTGCAGAAGGCTTGCGTTTTCCTTCACCTGACAGGTCTATAAATCAGGTTTCCCCGCTCAAGCGGGATCCCCCCAACAAGAAGACACTAAAGTTTTACCTGGATCTTTGGCCAGCAGTGCGGCTACACTGCTCCATTACAGCCTTTAGTCTAAAAGGGAACTTGTATTATAAAACATTAGGCTTGGATTATAACTCTAAGTTTGCCTACTGGGCTGTTTAGCTCAGCTCTGCCATCAGCTGGCTCTTTTAGGTGGCACAAAGAAGCGGTTGGCGAGGCTGGCACGGCAGGACTGAATTTGGTGCCATCGGGCTTCGTACCCAGCTGACAGCCTGGCAGCTTCCGGGTCCTTACCTTGGCATTATAATCCTTCCGGTGAATTTTCTTCCAAAGCTCCCACTGAGAGTCCAGCGTTTTGTCTAGAGGAGACTCCAGGGCCACCACATTTGCCACGGGCAGCACCGTGGCTAACAGAAGGACGAGCGAGTGCATTCTGGGAGGGTCAAACAGGACACACCACGGAAAAGTTCAGAGATTGTGCCAAAGATGGTTTATTAGACAAGCCCTAAGGTCCCTTCAGCCCTAGCATTCTATGCTTCTGTGGGGTGTGAGCCACCCGTGAAATCTAAACAAACCACGGAACCGTTTAACTCACGTGGACTCCAGCCAAGATTAGGAGCATCAAGAATAGGACAAAGGCTTTCCTGCTTGATTTGAGGCCATTCCCTTTTTTTTTTTTTTTAGCCTAGCTAGCCTAATCCTTTACCAGTTGAAAAGGAAAAAAGAAACCTTGGAAAAAATTAAGAGACCACCTTGCCCCAAAGCAAAACCCGTGATTTAGTGGAAAGCTTTTCAGTTACGTCAACTTTCCTAAATCCTTCCAAAGTTCCCACCTAAAATCTTACCCCCACAATCTTTTCTTTCCCCCCTCCCTATCCTTTCTTCCAAAAGGAGACCCACAGCTGGTTCCTGTTAGGGAGATGTTTCCCTGTTTTTCAGCAAAACAGACCTCGCTCCACCGAAGAGAAACTTAAAACCCCAAATTAGAAGCCAAAATGGAGCCTTTTCCTCCTAATTTACCTCTTGTACAGACAGAGGACGAGAAGGCTTGCTTTCTGACTTAAACATTAAACAGCTCCTCCCGCCTCGCCCTTCCTTCAAGGGTGGAAAATTGTTTTCCAGTGTCACGTGAAAGTTTTCTCTTTTTCCCCCCACCCCCCCCTAAAAGCATGAAAACAGGAAGGCCTCTGGATGCACTCAGAGATAAATTAAGAATTGTGAAAGCTGTCGTTCGGGGACATCACACAAAAGATGCAATCTTAGAGCCTTTTGAACCTTTGATTTATGCCCGCTTTTCCGGATCTATTAAAAATATTGCAACTTTGCCAGCTGACATAGAAGGCAGAGGCTGGCTTGGGGAGGGGGGGGAGAAGTGGGTGATTTTGCACTTGAACCCGTGTCCCAAACGGACTTGAGGATCCAGCGAGGATTCCCATCAGGCTGAGAGAGCGAGCACTGGATCCCTCTTCCCAGCTCCCTTGAGGAGGGTCTGGCTTGCCTTGGAAGGGTTGCAAGACGTTTGCCCACTCCCCACCCTGGATTAAAACCCCCCACACCAGGGATCCCTGCTCTCCTCGGCTTACCTGTCCCAAAATCGCCCTTTCCTCGGCAGAAGTGAGAGTCAAAGGCCAGCTCTGGTTCAAGAGACACTCTCCCAGGTGCAGCCACTCAGAATAGGAAGAATCTCAGCTTCCCAGTTTGTTTTTATGGTGAGTTGGTTGGGGGTGTATTGGGGGGGGGGAGTCTAGCCAACAATGGAAAATCTGCGACTTATGCTCCAAGCGGGCCGGGTGAGCAAGGCGGTGAGTGAGGCAGACATCCTGTGCGGGAACCGGGAAGGGGCACTCGGAGTGAGCTTTTGGGGAAGGAGGGCTCAGCTGCCTCACATGATCCCCTGGCTAAAATTACACCAGGGTTTTTTTTTTGATGTGCAGAGGGGAACCAGCCAGCCCCCCTCCCTCCCCTTGGAGAGTTGTCTGGATGCTTCCCTATTACAGACTCAGCTTTTGGCGCATGAAGCCCCAACAGTTTCTCTTGCCTGCGACCGTTACGGAGAACATGGAAAGAGGATTTTGAACAAATCAAGAATGAAAGCATTGCAAGATGGGGAGGGGAAAAAAAAATATCCTTCCCCCCCCCCCCAACTTGCAAGATCTTCGTTCTCCTTGCAAAAGTGGCAGAACTTTTGAATCAGGCCCGATTCGCAGCTTTTATGGCTCAGCTGCGTTATGTACCCACAAAGCTAGCAGATCCTGATTCAGGCACAATTTCTGAGGTGGCCTGGAGTTAAGGAGAAGGGAACAGAGAAAGTGGGGCCGATTCACACCCAAATCGGAAGGACTTTTCTTTCGCTTCTCTTCCGAAGCTGGCTGTGCTTTTGAACATCTCTTCCCATGCTCTGCAAGATGCTTCAAGGCCGTCCTGACCCGATCTCAATTATTTTCCTCCTTATTACACGGGGAGGATCCCGTTATTTCCTTCTCCACTTGCAGGTTGTCATGAAAATGCCCTTTCCCCTTTCAGTCCGTGAGCCGGATCTCATCAACGGGCACTAAATAAAAAAACAAGATTTTCTCTGGTTTTCAGCACAGATTTTTATTTATTCAGTCCAGAAATGGCTTGTTGTTTTTTTCCCCTCCTTTGGGCAGGTTTGGGATCAGATTAGACTTATCTAGCAATCTCACGTTCTGAGAACCGGAAGGACAAAAGAGTTCCTTTCAGTTTCGCTTGCAGAAAAGCTTATTTCTCGTATTTTTCTTTGGGAAAATAAAACAGGAGGGGATTCACAGCTCTCGCCATCCATCCCCCGGACCGAAATTTATTTCGTTTCTTGCTAGGCCGAAAGCTGGTCGCGATTTGTTCCCTTGTGCTGTTTTAGGAACTCATCTGATGGGGCGAGCACAAATTGGCGTCATGACACGCCAGGTGCAAGACAAAATGCAGAAGCGATTCAGGGGCCACAGGCCCAGCTTTCATTTGCCCATAGCATCTTGAAATAAACCTGCAAACCACAAGGCAGATGCCAAGCATCGTTGTGTTACCAATTTAGGCGATACTGTCAGTGTTTTGACACAAGGGATGACGTGGTTTGCTGGCCTTTTCCTGCCCGGCTATTCGTCTTACCTGTCTTGATCAGGATTTTGGGTCTGGGTGTTAAGAAATAATGTTCTCTATGACATTCAATCATGTTCTTGGCTTCTAACTGCCAACTGAGCGTAGGGGAACTTGACTGACACTGTGGTTTGTGGATTAAAGAGACATTCAGGCCTACAGCAAGGTTGCCCCTTCTTCTGGATATCTGTAATTCCAGTGAAAAAGTCATTTTGTCCCAGTTGAAGGTCAGCACATTTTTGCCCTAAGCTTCCTCACTCCCATTTACAAACAAGATCTGAAATGGAAACCTCTCCAATCTCAGGAAGAAATCTGGAACAATTTTAGCCACTCTTGGACACTGTCAACGTACAAGCAGCCACGTGAATCACTGGACAGGAAAAAGCAACACACAAATTTGCCCTCCTGTATGGAGCAACGGTGGAGTGTAAAGGCGCACAAACAACACTGCTCTTAAGTGTTTTCCGGCGAGACCGGTCTATCAGGGCAACCTGGTCTACCCCAAATTATGGGATGCAGCCTGCCGCTTCCATTTTTGCCTTTCAGCCCCCATCTAGCAGCCTTCACCGGCCGTCGCTTCTGCGACAGACTCTTTTGTGTGTTAAAAGTTCTTTGTCGGCAAATTTAAAAATTGAACTGCTCTTAAGTCTCGTCGGCTTTCAAGGTGACCCGGGATCCTGAGCTGTTTTTCCTACCGTGACTAAGGCAGCTGAGGATTTTTAAAACAGGAAAAAAGCCGTGACCAGAAAAAAAACAAAAAAAACCACCACTAAGTGAAAACATGTGACCGAGTCATGCGGTTCTGACTTCTTCGGGACCAAGGCTTAGTTCAGCAAAAGCCATTCCCAGAAAAGTGCCATTGCTCCTTCCAAGAAGGCCTGTCTCCAGACTGATTTCTGAATCAAAGCCAGGAAAGGAACCCAGTTAGGAACAGGGCTGTGGAGTCGGTAGATAAATGTTCTGACTCCGACTCCTCAGTTTTTTGTACTTCCGACTCCGACTCCCCGACTCCTCTGTATTAATATGCGAATGTATTTTATACATTCCATGCACGTGAAAAGCATGCTTCTTCACGGTCACTTAACGTGTTCGTTTTGCGGTTACGTGAGGCACTGCATGCATTGGTCTTTATTCTTACAGTAGAGAAGTCATTAATTATAACTTTTTGTGAATTGGGACATTTAAACCTGCTTTTTTTTTTTAATTCCAATCTAAATTTAGTAGGAGTCGGAGTCGGTGCATTGTTTGCCGACTCCGACTCCAGGTACCCAAAATTTCCTACGACTCCGACTCCTCGACTCCGACTCCACAGCCCTGGCTTAGGAAGGCAACGGCAACCACCAGATGGAGAATTTAATCACAGTTGATCACGTGATTGTTCTCCCCCCCCCCCCCCCCGTCCTCTTTTCTGGATATTCTGGAAATGCAAACGGTGCAACTTTCCCAGAACTCGATTCTTCTTTTCCCGGCTGATGGAAACTAGATTCCTTTTTGCGAAGCGTGCAGATAAATCTTTGCAAAGAGACCCGGAGCAGCCGTACGCTTCAGACTCTGCCCAGCTCTCCTGATGCCAAGACAGGTGCCCTAAAAAAAAAAAGGGGAGCTGCAAGCGGCGGCCTTCCAGGTCTCCAAGCGTGGCGATGGCCGTCCGCTTGCCGAGTCTTTCGAACGGGAAGAGGCCGCCGCACAGGGTGGGGAACGTCACCTGTGGCGGGAGGAAGGCTCCCACCTGCAGCAGAGTTTAAAAATAACGTGCCTTTCACTTCCGACGGTGAAGCCAAGGACGCTGTGCGAGTCGAGCGATCTCAAGGAAGACAAAACGCCGTGTGACCTTTGTGCAATTTTTATGGCTTTTAGGTGTCCCCGTGGTAAAGCGCGTACAAATAGAGAGGAAAAGGGCTTCACAGAGATTGGGAAGGGAGGGGAGGGGGCGCCGGAAAGCCCCCTGACCCACACCCGGCTTGGAAAAACGGCTGGAAAAGGTGATCAAGTGGCTTCCCTTGATCACCTCCAGGATTGAACCAGCATCGTTTTCCTACTTTCCAAGACGGGGACGGCCCCTCCCCGAATCAGAGCCCTAAACATTATTTTAAAACAGGGACCGGTTTTTTTCTCTCCTGGCTTCCTTGCCGTCCACCATGATTGTCAATCGCCCCGTCCCCCCCAAAAAAGGGGGATTTTCACAAAGAAGATTGTGCCAGCACAGTCTCCGAGCACAGAGCACAGCGTGGCCCGAAAGAGGTGTGGAAAGACAAGCTAACCAACAAAGGGACCAGACGAGGAGGGAGGGGCATCTCAGCCCCCCACCCCCACCCCAGCATTTCATTAATACTGCTTGTGAGAGAGACAAGAGACACGCGTGTGCGAGCGTGTGAGGGAAGAAACACGAGGCCGGGATTTCCGCCCGGTTCACAAGTTCACAAAACCGCCTAAGAAGCAGGAGCCTCTCCACAAAACGCAGCTCCCTCGACGTGTATAAATGAGAATACAAGGTAGGTATAAAAGATTATGCCGTAGAATTAAAAACAAGACCAAAAAAAAAATTAAAAATAATAACAACCTGCAGAGCTTTTTCTTTCCCGAGCATCTTTTCCCGTGTCGGATGTCGGAGGGGAAAAAAAATAAGATTTCCCATCAGTTCCTTCCTCCCAGAGGGAGGGTCTCTGAGTAACGCCCGTCGCGGGCTGGCAGGGAGGGAGGGAGGGGTCTTCCTGGGCAGCCCCCAGAGATTTGGTGGGAAGGTCGAGCCTCAGCCCACCTGTGTTCGTGACCCCCCCTTGGAGGCTTTTGTCCTCCCCCCCAGGAAGACTTGGGGGCTCTTTGCAAGAGGTGGGGGGGTGAGGAAGAGACCCCCCTCCATGCTGCTACACAGAATAACGTCCCATCATGGCGGATGGTCTCCCTCGCTTACTCCGAAAAGGGCGGAAACATGTTCAGTTCGGGAAATTCTTCGCCGCTGTAGTTGGTTCCTTGTTCCCCCAGCATGGACAGCATATCCTGGAAACCCAAAGAGAGGAGCCGTCACTTTTATAACCCGGGATAAAACAACACCTGCCATTAAACTGGGTTCGCTTCTGAAAGCAGGCAGGGCTCAAGAGAGGAGGATCCCAATGAGTGGGGCGAGCCGAGCCGTAAAACCAATCTGCGTTTTTCCCACTTGCTCTCAGTCCTTGACTTACGGCCTCAACTGGGACTGGAACTTTGGCCGCTAAGCGATGCGGCCTCTAAGCAAGTCATCGGACCCAATTTTGCGACTGTTTACCGCGGTTGTTAAGCAAATCAGACAGACGGTCGCAAATCATGATCATACGACGGCAAGACACTGCAACTTTCCTAAATGTGAACTGGTTGAGTTGTGACTGCGGGGGTGGTGCGACAGTTGTGACCGTTGTCACTTTGTCCGAGGCCGTCTTAATTTTGAACCGTTGCTAAACCAACGGTCGTACGTTGAGGACTTCTTGTACAATCCTTCCGCTCCCCCTTGGTGGCTTCTCACCGCTGGTAAGTGACTCACCGGGAAGACCTCTGCCTGGGTAGACTGCTGCTGGACGTGGGGCTCGCCTGAGCTCTGCCACTGGGGCCAAACGCCGACTCCTTCTGCCGTCCGCGCCTGGAACGGGGCCGGATTCTGCCCGCTCTCCCCGGCAGCTGAGGAGAGGTGAGTGAGAAAGAGAGACCTTGGGTTAACGTAGCCTTACTATAAAGTGGGATCAGTTTCCCGTCTGGTCTACCTGGAAAGGCCGGCAGGAAGGAAGGAGAACCCACAAGAGACAAAGGCCTTTCGGTCCCCTTTTCAACAACCAGCTCTGGGTCAGAAAGGCACAGCTAAATGGCCTCTGGGGTCCTTCCCAGCTCCCCAGAGAAGCTCATTTAACACCGATTGACTGCCAAGGCATCACAGCTACCGAGAGACTGAGCCCGCGGGCGGCTCCAAGGGCAGCCAAGGGACTTACCGAAAGGGGCGTTCCGACCGGCAAGATTTGGGTAGGGGGCCCCGGCTGGCGAGGCCGCGGACCCGGGGTTTGGCATGGGGCCGAAGGAGGACGGCGTGGCCTGGAAGCTGCCCATGGCAAAAGAGGGGGGGCGAGTCTTCACCGGCTGGGAAGCCGCTGGCTGGAGAAGGCAAAGAGCAGAAAGGAAGCGATAAATTTCCCAAACTTCGTCTGGAGCGATTTGCTTTTGGGGTTTTCCGAGAGAAATCCAGGCCGTTGGGAAGCCGAAGACGGGCCCAAGTCAGAGCCCCTCGGAGTTCTCACCCTTGACCCCAAGGGACACTTTCTGGGGAGGGGGCTTTGGAGGAAGAAAGAACAAGAATTACTTGGGCCGTGAAAGGCGGGCGCGATCCCGAAGGCCAGCCGCTTCCAGAGACCTGGCCGGGGCTGGCGTGGCGGGAGAGATGGGCCAGGATGGGTCCGGCTGCGGTCGAGTGTGCCCGGCCAGGCTGCAGGACGTTCACGGGGGGCGCCAGGGTGCTGCTGCTGCTGCCGGAGGGGAAGAGAGACCCCGTGAAGAGCGGAACGGAAGGAAAACCCTTCTTGGGAGATCTGGAGCCCGGCTGGGAACGTCAAGGGGAAGGGCAAGCCCCCAGGACGCCCCTCCCTCACCCACCCACCCCAGATTCTCAGCCCCCCAGAATGGCTGCTTCGTCGTAAAGAGCAGAGCAGTCGTGGAAGAAAGGGGGCGACCTCTGAGCCTTACCGGAAGCTCTCAGCGGGGCGGGAAGCCCCGAAGCTGTTCCCCGGAGCGAAGAGGGGCTGGCTGGTGGGCACCGAGTTGGCCGAAATGGGCTTCGTCTGGTCTGCGAGAGAGAGAGAGACCCCAAAGGGGACGTTTTAGGAGGGCACACTTTAGAAACCGCCCCACGGAAGGGAGGTCGCAGGCACGAGGCCTGGCCCTGCGCCCCGCACCTGGGCTGATGCCGCCGTAGATCTCGCTTAAGCGGGGGTCCCGCTCCTGGCCGAAGAGGACCCCGGGCTTCTCCAGAGGCTTGTTGTGCTCGGGGCCAGAGGCGCTCACGGCCTGAAGGGCAGCCTGGAGAGAGGAGGAGAGTGACCCAAATACTTACCCACCGTCTGCGCTTCCTGCCCGCACCGGCGCCTGGCGCCCTGGTCCCCCCTTACCTGCGGGTGCTCGTACGTGGCTAAGCTCTCTCTCCCGGGAACCACCTCGAGCTCTGCTGGCTGGGCTGGCTGCGGCCTAAAAGGCAGAGACTCAGGTCGGGAAACAGCCTCGTCTGGGGCGGAGGGCACCGAGAGAAGCGGGCCCAGGGACCTGGGAGCCCTCGAAATGGGTCCACGGCCCTTACCTGGCAGCCAGGTGGCCCGGGCCCATCTCCAACGGCAGGCTGACGTTGGGGCCTAGCTGGGGCCGCTGCATCGTGTTCGAGCCAGGCGGGCGGGTGTCCTGGCTGGCGTTCCTGCAGGGAAGGGGAACCATGAGGCCGGCAGCCCCTTCGGGGTCAGAGGGGGCGTTGCACCCAGGAGTTAAAATCCTCAGTCGACCCAGGGGAGCTTTCCCAGCTTTTCAAAACAGGCCAGGCCATCACGGTCAGGCCATCCCCAAACAGCCCCCGCTGGGCCCTCCAAGCTGCTTCCGACTTTCCAGGAAGACCCTCCTGCGACCACAGCCTTGGGGGGCTCCCGAGACAACGTGGCTACCGTCGGCTGGCCTGCAGACCCCCCCAACCTCCCTTGGCTCGGGCGCAGCGGCTTTCCCCGCCCCACCCCTGAAGCTAAACAATGGAGATGGGGATGGAGATGGCTTAGTTTTCCGGAGACCGCGACCGTTAGCCCACATAAAAGGAAGCCCAGGGGCTCCTCCTGCTGGCCGGCCTCCTCCCCGGGAGAAAGCCCCGCCCGCTTGCCCTGACATCACAGCAGGGCGACCAATCGCAACGAAGGAAGGCCGAGCCTCCGCGGAACTAAAGTTTCCCCCCCTTGGTTGGATCTGGCGGCTGCTTGGGGGCCATTTTGCCGCTGGCAAAGCCCCTCCCCCTTGAGGGCAAGCTGGGCGCAGTCCGTGCCGGGGTTGGCGTCCCGAGTACGTACTTCACGTTGGTGTTGGTGCAGATGATGTACTCGATCTCGTCCGAGTAGGGGTTCTGGAAAGTGAAGGAGCTAGTCCGCATCCAGAGCCATTCGCGGTTCTTGGATCGGAAACGGAACATGACGGAGAGCACCTGGCCCTTTAACTTCACCACCTGGAAAAAGGGGTTGCACGCCGGGAGTCCAGGGCTTGACCCGCAAAGACCCCGAGGGGTTCCCCCCCCGCCGTCGGGAGGGCCAATGCGCCCTTCTGCTGGCGCCCAAACATGGGGGGGGGGGTAGAGGATGTGCCCTGCCATCTGGCTCTAAAACGAGGGGCCCCAAGAGACTATCGAGTCTCTTGGACCCACAAGGCAGAGCGCTCCCTCTCCTAAAGCAGGGGTCCCCAAACCTGGCAACGTTAAGGAATTCTGGGAGTTGAAGTCCACCAGTCTTAACGTTGCCAGGTTTGGCGAGCCGGCAATAGCTGGGAGACTTGGTAGCTCCTAGGCCCACCTTTGAACAGGTGCCTGGAGGGCCGAAGTGATGATGGTTATGGGGTGGAATGCCGTGTTATGGACCCTTTGCAAGCCCCCTTCTCTCTCTCTCTCTCTCTTTCTCTCTCTCTCTCTCTCTTTCTCTCTCTCTCTCTCTCTTTCTCTCTCTCTCTCTCTCTCTCTCTCTCTCTCTCTCTCTCTCTCTCTCTCTCTCTCTTTCTCTCTCTCTCTCTCTCTTTCTCTCTCTCTCTCTCTCTCTTTCTCTCTCTCTCTCTCTTTCTCTCTCTCTCTCTCTTTCTCTCTCTCTCTCTCTTTCTCTCTCTCCACGCCTTCTGCGCTAAGCCCGGACACGTATCAGGCAATCCCGGCTCCAGGATCCAGGCCTGGTTCTGCCGATGGCCGAAGTCGAGCTGCCCTGCCGTGGGGTTACCTGCTGGAAGCTGTCCCTCAACAGCTGCTGGTCTTCAGGATGGCAGAACTCAACAATGTCCTTCCCCAGGAGTTCCTAGCAGGAGGGAGAGACCCCATTGGCAAAGCAGCCCGCTTCTCCTCCATCCTCCGGGGCCACAGAAGAGGAAGCCCTGCGTAGCCACACTTGGCATCGTTTTCTCCCGAGTTTGCTTTGGCCACATAGAAATGCCCCTGAACATCTCTCCAAAGCTCTGGGACCCTACCTGGGGCTTGTAGCCCACCGTGGCCATGCACCGGTGGTCCACGAAGGTGAACAGCCCGTCCGTGTTGTGCCGGGAGATGAACTCGGTGGGCTGACATACCGTGTTCATGTCGGTGCAGCCGGGGGAGCTGGTGACCTAGAGAGGAGGGGAGAAAACCCCCGTGAGTGCCGGGGCTGCTCTACCCTCCGGGCGACCGATTATCCCCCCCCCCGAGGAGTTTGGGGGAGCTGAGGGGAACGATCCCCACACAACCGCACACACAACTTCGGCCTACCTGCAACCTGCCGATGGCCACCAGGCAGAATTTGCTGCCCTGTCCGGCATCCGGGTCTTCGTCGGGCAGGGAAACTCCTGGGAGGAGGATTTGAATTCAGAACTTCAAGCCAAATGGCTTCCACAGGCAACGGTTTGGGGTTCCTCTGCCCCCCCTTCTAGTTTTTTTTTTTTTAATGACAGCAGACTGTCAGAAGCGGGGAGGGGGGGAGCCAGGTAGCTGAAGCTCTGCTGGACCAGGTGAGTTACCTGCTGGGGGCCACGCTTTGATGTAGCCCGTGCAGTGGACGACCACAAAATGGGGCTCCCCCTCTTTGATGGCACCCAGCCCGTTCCTGGAAAGGGAAGAGATTTGGCAAGGGTTTATAGGCCCTCTGGGGGGGGGGAGTGTCAAAACCCCCAAATCACCTAAACAGACGTGTCCTTCTTCTGAAGTCTGTCTTGCTCCGGTTTCCGCAGACAGCCCTTACCTGCAGCGATTCCTCATGTAGCTGAGCCGGTTCATGGAGACGGGATCGACTGTTGCGTTCCCACATCTGCAGCACAAGGGATTAAAAAAATATATATCTGAATTTCAGCTTTCTGCCAGGACAGAGAGAGGCTGATGCAGAGGCCTCCCCTGCACCGATCTGCTAAACTGGCAGGGGCTGACAGGAACACCCCCCCCCAAAAAAGGTGTCGTGGCCAGTGTTACACGAGCCCCTTCCTCCGCTGACCTAACTGCCTGTCCTTGGCCCCAAAGCAGCACAATCCTGGCTTGTTGTGGCCAGGCAAGGATTGGTGGTTAAAAGCAACCGTGCTTAACTTAGGCTGGGGAATGCTGGGAGTTGAAGTCCACGTGTCTTAAAGTGGCCACGGTTGGACACCCCTGACATCAGTGAAGCCCGCTGCCCCCTTCGGCACGACATCCGGGTTCCAACGTACCTCATCCGACAGATGAAGGACCTCCGGGACCCCATGCACATCCTCATGGACTGCTGACCCTCCTTCTTGACCGTCCCCGTCTTCAGATCCAGGATGCGGCCTGAGGAAGCCAAGCCGAGGCACAAAATGAGGACCGGGCTGCTTCCCGCAGCGGAGAAGGAGAACCGGCTCTCGAGCTGAGCCGGCGGGGAAAACCTACCGCTCAGCGCGTTCTCCGAGGTGGACAGCTGTTCCCGCAGCTTCTCCACGTCGTCGGGGTGCACCTGGTCGTAGAGGGTGCTCCCGAACCACTCCGACTGGGGCTGGTTCAGGACGGGCGTCACCGAGTCGGAGACGTAGACCACCCGGCCCGTCTCGCAGGAGACGATGAAGAGGAAGCCATCGGCCGCCTCCAGGATCAGGTGTTTCAGCTCCTGGAAGGGGGGGGGGAAGAGAGCAACTGAAACGGGGAGCAGGGCGCAGGACCAAGGAGCCCCCCACGCAAGGCTGCCAACTCTCCTGCGCGCTGGCTGCACCACGGCCAGGAGCCACGAAGGGTTCAAAGCAGAACTAGGGAGCTCTGCAAAGGAGAGCAGAGTAACAGAGTTGGAAGGGACCTCGGAGGTCTTCTAGTCCAACCCCCTGCTCAAGCAGGAGGCCCTATGCCATTTTACACAAATGGCTGTCCAGGCTCTTCTTAAAAACCTCCAGTGTTGGAGCCCCCACAACTTCTGGAGGGAAGCCGTCCCACTGATTAATTGAAATTCAAATTCAGCTAGAGTTGCAGACCTCCCCCCCCCCAGATCCGTTTCCTCCCCATACTAACAACCATCCAGCCCCATCCTCCTCCTCCTCCTCCCCCCCCCCAGAAACGCAGAGGGGGGGATAGAGAGACCTGGTCGGTGAGGAAGGAGGGCTTGTAGCTGCCATCCGTGGAGGTGTTCCCGGTGCCCCGCAGCGACTTCATGTGGGAGACGGCCATGCGCAGGATGGTGAGCTTGTCCGGCTTGCGGGCCAGGGCGCTGCAGGTGGGCACCATGTCGGAGAGCTCCGTGATGTAGGCGGTCATCTTGTTCCGCCGCCGGCGCTCGATCTCGCTGTGGTTCTCCCTGGGGAGGGAGAGCGGAGCAGAGAAAGGGAGGCGGCGCTCAAGAAACGGCCGGGCTTGCCCAAAAGAGGGAGAGGCGGCAGGTGGGGAGGGGAGGAAGGAGGAGGGAAGGGGGGCCAAGAGGCGTTAAGGCTGGGAAAGAGGCGGCGTGCCGGGCATGCAGACGCAGGAGAGCAGAAAAGACCTCGAGGAGAGCGGCACTGGAAACAATTGAGGGACAGAGAAGCAGATTTATTTGTAAAAACGGTTGACTTGCCCATCTTACCACACGGTAACTCTGAGTGGTTTACAATCATAAAAATCCGTCTATCCATATCTTGCTATCTATCTATCTATCTATCTATCTATCTATCTATCTATCTATCTATCTATCTATCTATCTATCTATCTATTCTATCTATCTATCCGTCCATCCCATCTCATCTCATCTCATCATCTCATCTATCTATCTATCTATCTAATCATCCATCCATATCTATCTATCTATCTATCTATCTATCTATCTATCTATCTATCTATCTATCTATCTATCTATCTATCTATCTATCTATCTATCTATCTATCTATCTATCTATCTATCTATCTATCATCTATCCAACATAAACAAGTTAAAACCAACCATTAAAATCCAATTACAGGTGGGGAGGACAGGCTGGTGGTGGGGAGGTGGGATCTGTTGTTACTCGATCAACAATGAACTTTGGGAAGCTCTTAGAAAGGCCTTGGAGGTCAGGGTCCGATGGGGACTGTGAATGGAGCCTCCATGAACAGAGGCAGTCTATCTGTGTGGGGGTGGGAGTTAGCGGAGGGGAGGGGGGGGAGAAAGAGAAATCAGTTAATAAGAAAACCGGCACCTGGAAGCACGGAATGGAAGATGGATCTGGGCGGATGACGTAGTGAAGAAAGAAAAGGCTTTAGGTGGGTTTAATAGGGAAAAAAATGAAGTTTTAAATTGCTCCATCCTCGCTAGTCACCGGAGGGAGGAAATCTCTGCTAGGAGGGGTGGTGGTGAAGAGGAGGATGCAGGAGAGACCAACGTGGCCGTCCTGGGGTGCTTTACAGCAGGTCTCTCCATTCTCGGCAACTGACTCGCACTTACGACGGTTGCAGTCTCCCGGGGTCACGCGACCCCCTTTTGCAACCTCCGGACAAGCAAAGCCATTGGGAAAGCTAGATTCAATTAACAACCCTGTGGCTAACAACTGCAGTGACTCAATTAACGGCGGCAAGAATGTCTGTAAAACGGAACTCAAAGGGAGACCCGGAGACTTTAATGAGTCCACGAAACCCCGGCTAGTTTCAGCCAGGCTTCAGCAGAGCCGGCTTGCTACCCTTTCTGGCCGGTTTTTCACGGCTTCCGACCGGGAGGCCGATTCCCCAAACTCTGTATCCACTTTGGAGCCCTTGAGTAAGGAAGAAAAAGGGGAAGGGGGGAGGGAGGGAGGCTGCACAGGGTGGTGGGTGGGAAGCAGAAGAAGAGGAGGGTGGGGGGAAGTGAACAAACTGTGGTTTGTCATGCGTGGAGAATCCAGAGCCTGGGTCTTCCTACCTGGCCAATCTTTCCTTATCCGCCGAGCTCTGCTCGTCATCAGACCTAGAAATAAAACGGGTGAGCTAAACTAAAACTCCGGAGGGGGTGGGTGGGTTTCTCCTCCCAGGCCAAGAAAGGAGGGGGGGGAAAACCCAACTGGCGGGCCTGGTTCTCACCGGAAGAAGTCCAAAGTGCGAGGAGGGGGTCAAGAGCAGAAAAAAAGAGAGAGGGAGAGAAAGGAGAGATAGAGGGAGGGAAGGGCGGATGGACGGATGGAGCAACGAGGGAGCCGAGGGGGGGGAATCTTATTTCAGGAGGTGGGGGTCTGAATCAGGGAGGCAATCTCTGCCCCCTGCCCCCAAAAGCTGCAAGCCCCTCAGTGCAAAAAATAAAAAAATAAAGAAAAAGCAAGAATTCTTCCAGGGTAAAGCAGAAAACGACTGAACAAGACGCAGCCACTCAGGCTTTGGAGTGCCAGTCTCGGCAGAGTTCATTTTATCATGCCTCTAATCCAATGTTTCTCAACCTCAGCAGCTTTAAGAGGGGCTTCAACTCCCAGAATTCCCCAGCCAGCCACCACACGGTTCTCAAAATCCCAAGCAATTTCCTAAAACTGACAAATAAAGAGGTGGGGAAAAAAAGTTTGCAATGAACCGTAAATTACAAAGACACACCTGGATACCGGCGGCCTCTCTCTTTTTCCAGACAAACACTTTGCGTTTGGAAAAGCAAGGAGCTTTGATGCGTAATATTAAAGGATAGCAAAAAATATTGATGTTAAAGCCTCCTGCGTTGCTTGAATTAACTCAGCTTAATTAGGCCATGTTGGCTTCCCCAAAGCCGCTGTTGTGCAAAGAATTAAGGAAGAAGGCTGCTTGTATTCGAACACGGGAAATGCCACTTCTCGCTTTGCGGAACGGGCTCAAGGGATCCCCCGGAGGCTCTTCTCCTCGCAATCCTTACCTCGCAAACCGCTCTTTGTCGGTGGAGAGCTGGTCATCCTCACATCTGGAAAAAACAAGGAGAAGGACCTCATGAAAGGGCTTGAATTAAATATCCCAGCCTCCCCTTCTCTCCGAATCAAGCTGCCCTCAAGAGCGCATTCTTTCTCTCCTGTCCCTGGAGGTTTTGAAGAAGAGACTGGACAGCCGCTTGTCTGGAATGGTGCAAGGTCTCCTGCTTGAGCAGGGGGTGGGACTAGAAGACCTCCAAGGCCCCTTCCAACTCTGTTATCCTATCCCCCCAACTTCCTTGCCAATGAAAAAGAAGCTCACCTGAGAAATTTGCCGTTCCCGTCACTATCTTCATCAAACTCAAGCCTAAAACGCAACAGGAACAAAAACAGGGATTGCGGGCGAAGTCCTTCCGGGTCAGGCCCAGCCTTGAGCCACTCAAATGGACTTTTCCTGCCCCCCCCTGCGCTTGTCGGGCCAAACCCCACCTAACCTCACGTACCCCGTCCTCCGCTTGCTGTTCCTCTGGCTGAGGCTTCCTGCGGGATGCGCGGCTGCTCCCGCCGTGCCCGAAGCAGCGCCCAAGGAAGGAACATCCGAGGCCATTTCTGGAGAGGCGGAGAAATGGGACGGTGTCTGGCGTTTATTTATTGAATTTATTTGCTGCTCAACTCGAAACAGAACGACTCTGGGCAGCTTGCAAAAACATTCATCCTAACGGGAAGTCCTCAACTTACAACAGCTCGCTTAGGGACTGCTGGAAGTTACAGTGGCACTGGAAAAAAGGGACTTAGGATCTGTCTCGCTTAGCAACAGAAATTTTGGGCTCGGTTGTGGTCGTAAGCTCGAGGACTACCTGTATGATGTCTCAAACATGCGGAAACAAATTCAAAAACTAATTATTTCTCCAGAAAACTGAAAAATGCAAGTTAATTAAATAGTTTCAGCTGTTATAGCCCTTAAAGACATTACAGACTGGAGAGGGGGGAGGCCCCAGTCCGATGCCTGTGGTTCCATTCAGAAGATTGCACTAAAAGAAGAAAGGATGGCTTATTATTAGTAGTAAGCCACATCTGAAGCGAGATCTAACTTTGTTGTCATCCATTCGAGCACAGAAAGTCACACCGATTCTTTGAACTGTGGAAATGAAGGAAACACGCAAAGGCTCTGAGAGGCCACGGGTTTCGCTAGAACAAACAGCTTCCTTCGCTCCAATTGAATTTGAGAAAGAAAATTGATGCCACATGGAAAACAAAAAACAAAACATTGCAAACTCTGCACTGAATTATGAAACCCAGATGAAAGAACTTAGCATCACAATTCGAACGGAGCACGTTGGAGATGGCTTTGCTGGCCAGGAAATACCCCATTCAAAAGAAGGCCCAACTGAATTAAGTAGCAAAGGTTGCAAAAGCAAAGAAACAAACTAGGAACCACCTAAAGCGCTCTTAAAAGCCCCCCCCCTTTTTTTTAAAAAGCAGCTAAAAAGATGAAAAAAGTATCTGGAATCAGAAGAACACAGGTGATCCGACACCAGATTTTCCTAGAATGTCTATAAACAGAAAAAAGAAAAACACCACAATTTCTCCCCAGAGAAGAATTTTAACTGTTGATTTCCTGGCAGGAAAAAAAAAATTCAAGATTTGGACTTTTGAAAGAAAATACTGCAATTCCACAGACAACACCAAACCTGTAGAAGAAAAAAAAAAGATCTATTTTGCTACACCTATGATAAATAAATATTTACAGGCAGACTCCACTGGCTTTTTGGTTTCCAAACTGAACTGCAATATGAAAACAGAAGCATTTAGAGTAGCAATTTGGCAATAACAAGAAGTCCTTGATGTCACAACCCTTTCAACATGAAACACGGTAGTGATCAGTCCTCGGGGCTGCAATCTCTCCAGCCTCTACATCAAGCCAACTTTTTTTAAACCACAAATGCTCGGTCAAACCTGGGGCTTTAAATACACGGCCGACAAGATCCGAAACTGCGGCTTCTTTTCCAGAATAAAGTGTCTTTGGGAAAAAGAGCCAAGAGTCTGTCTCAAAACCTAGAAACAAAACATCGAAGGCTGGCCAAGCACTGACGTATTCCTCCTAAGAATTTCCAAAATAATTCTGTATACAAAGGCGGCTGGGGTGTGTGTGTGTGTGTGTGTGCGTTATCTGACAGGGCTCTCTAGGAAGTTTGCATCACAAAACACTGCGCTATCTTAAAAGCCACATTTGAGTTCCGGTAACTGTGAGAACTAAGAATTATTTAAGTCCAATAAAAGTTTTGCTGAGCGTGGAGGGGGTGTTACCAATGAATTACGCTTCCATCTGAGTTTCTCTCAAGCCTTTCTCAGGATAACAAAAGGGCTGGTTAGAGAAGTAGAAAGGGTGGCTTCCTTTACAGATATATACAAATAGGTTCCTGACTTACAACAGTTTGTTTAGTGACCTGAAAAAAGCGGCTCGTGGCCATTTTTCACACGAGCCTTGCAGCATCTATCTCCGCGATCAAAATTCAGACGCTTGTGATCCAATTTCAGATGCTTGGCAACTGACTCGTGTTTATGACGGTCGCAGTGTCCGGGGGGGGGGGGGAGGTGGTCACGTAATCCCCTTTTTGTGACTTTCTGACAAGCAAAGTAAATGGGGGAGCCGGATTCCCTTAACAACCGTGTTGCTAACTTAACAATTGTGGCAGGGAAAGTTGTAAAAGGGGGCAAAACTCACTTAATGTTCCACTCAGCGGCAGAAAGGTTGGGCCCAATCGTGGTTGTTAAGTCAAGGACCCCCTGAAGAGGCAAGACCCAACTCGCTCTTTCGTTTCTCTAACTCTGGGCCAAAAACAAGCTCAGCTTTGTCTACACAACTCTTAAAGGACACTTTCTGTAGACTGTCTGGCTTATTATTCACCGTATCCTGATGGATTTTGCAACTGGAACCCAGCAGTGGGGGGGGGGGAAAAAATCAGATTTTGCAATCGGGCTTTGCAAGGAGAGCAGAGATTTAATCTGGCAGGCAGGCCAGAAAGTCCAGGAGGCCACTGCTGCTTTGGCTGGGAGCGATGGGACTTGGGATCCCGCCCATGACCTGCAGAGATGAACCGGACCCCGGAGGGTCGCGGGATGACCGCCCTGCTCAAAACGGCCCCCTTTGGGCCTCGTCTTGAGGGTCCCAGGGGGTGGCAGCCCCCCGGCCCCTATCCTGGAAGGGAGAGGCTCCAGGCCCGGCCTGCTTCCTTGGCATCGTCTCCAAGGGCCGCCCCACAAGCGGTGCCCAGCGGCAGTCTAGCTGTTTCTAGCCCTGGGCAGCGAGGGGCCGTTCCTGCTGTCCTGCCAAGGCCTGGCCGGGCCCATGGGGCTCAGCCAGCCTGGGCACGGCGGCTGGGGATTATGGGAATGGTCTTCCAGAGCAGCTGGGCGGCCCCCCTCAGCTTTTCTGGAGTTGGGGGATGATGGAGCTGGGTGTGGCCGGGGAGGATGGGAAGGAGGGTCTGGGGGAGCCAGGGAGGCGCTGGCTGCGGAAGATGGGAGAGGGAGTCCCAGCAGGCAATGAGGGCCGAGAGCCCCCCCCCGGCCCCCTCCTGAGACCACCAACCCCCTTTTTTCCCCGAGCGACCCCCACTCACCCTCCTCCGCGGCGGCGGTTGCCATGGCTACACCGGCGGGCGCCCCCCCCCGCCCCGACTCCGCCGCCCCTCACTCGCGCCAGGTCCAAGATGGCGGCGGCGGGCGATCCCTGACGGGGCCGGACCGAGGGGCGGGCTGCTGGAGGCAGCGGCCGCTCCCATTGGCTGGCCCCGCCAGGTGGGTGTGGACCACGGCGGCGTCGCTGCGGGAGGAGGCGTGGCCCAAAAGTAGGGGAAAAGTGACGCCGCCGCGGGAGGCTTGAGCGCCGGGAAGGGGCGGGGCGAAGGTGACGTCACGGGCCAGCTGGTGACGTCGCTTTAAAGGTCCCGCGCCACGCCGCCGTCCTTCAAGGGCAGGGCTGGGATCGGCTCCCATCGTCCCCAGCCCATCAGGCGCATCACTACAGAGTCCCTCTGCCCCAGCCTAACTGGCTGGCTTGACCTGTTCAAATGCAATTTGCTTTGGTGCCCCGCAAGACCACCATGCATCCCCCTCCTAACTGTTCCCTTGGACCACAATCCCCATCATCCTGAGCCAATACACCTGGTGCTTCCTTATTTGGAAAGGTTTGGGGGCAACGTCCCTGTGCTGCCCCCAAGGGAAGGAAAAGCCCAGTTCTGTACACCCCGAAGGACAGGGATCCTTTGGGCCGGTGGGGGAATGATGGGAGGTGTAGTCCAGCCCAAACCTCTCTCCGCCTTTATCCTGTCCAGTCCTCAGATTGTGTCTGCTGCTGCGTTGGAAGGCCCTGCAGGATGGCCCTCCCTCCTTCGCCTCCCGTCCAGCTGCACCAGCAAACGAATGGCAAGACCCAGAAGGACCCCCAGACACGGTGGGGAAATCCCTGCCAAAAGGCCTTTTGCACATGCTCAGGAGCACAGCTGAAACTTCTCATCCCACCAGAGCTGCCCAGGTCCTCCCTTGGACACCAGTGGGGGTGAAAAACAGATTCCCCCCTTCCAGACGAACCATCAATCTCCGGCTCCTTGTCTCTCTTCCGCTGGGATGGCAGGAAACGCGATACTGTATTGCTGCCCCACCTTCTGAAGTATTCATGATATTTCCAGGGGCAGCTCGGAGGAGCCGGAGCAGCTCAGCAGCTCACAGCGGTTTCTCCCACGTGGCCTGGAGCCAAGGCCGAGCAGCCCCCCAGCTTTCTGGAAGGGCAAGGAACGGCCTTCGGGTGCCCGGCGTGGAGTCCCTGTGGATCGGAGGGGACCCTTGCTCTTTCCAAGGAGCGCCCTCCCTTTCCTTGCAAGACCAGCCTCCTTTCTTGCAGCACTTCTTTGAATCCTGAGCCTCGGACTCAGATTTTCCCTCCGTCTGCTGGAAACCTTTTGACCAGGTTGGTGCCAAGCAGACCAAGGTATCCAGGCTATGGAAAGTCCCACGACGGAGCCCTTTGTGGACGTGGACAAAGGCATCTGCCTGGCCTGCCTCTCCCTGATGTGTCTCTTCCTGCTGGTCATGATGGTGAGGTGCGCCAAGCTGATCGTGGACCCTTACACGGCCATCCCCACCTCCACTTGGGAGGAGGAACCCCTGGACTGATCTCCTGACAGCGAGCGGCCTCCAAAAAAGCAATTGCCATCCCTAATCTCTCTTGGCTTTGGGGTTGGACTAGAAGACCTCCAAGGTCCCTTCCAGCTCTGCTCTGTTTGTCATTGCTCCACACGGCCTGTAGGAAACGCAGGGCCAAATTCCCTAGATTTGGGAATGTTGTTCACATACAACCCCCTTTTCCAATGGGGAAAGTTGGTCGTCTGAAAGACTGAAGTGGGGATTGTCTGTGATAATCCAGAGTTGACCAAGAATTCTGCTTTTGCGTGTCTTCGACGTCCTCAAGGGAGGCAGACATTTGTGCTCCATCATCTGCTTGTATCCCACGCCCAAAGTACACGGGTTTCTGCTTGCTGATCATCTCCTCGGCCATGATTTAGTCCAGGACAGCTCAGCTGGGTTTTATTGCTCCTCAGAAGGCTCTTGGTAATCTTCTGCAAGGGCAGCGTAATTTAATAGCGCGACCTTCTTTCCTTCGCTCACAGCCGCACGGAAGGAGCACCGGAAGGAGCAGGGCTTCAACCCTCTGGACCATTTTCCGGGGGCTGCTGGAGATTGAGCAAAAGGGGGCAGATGATTGGCAGGGAATTGTAGGGTGGGAAAACCCACCAGGGAGGCCTCAAAGGTTCAAAGACGAGGCCTCTTTTCTCTGCATGTGTCCACGTTTAGGGTGGGGAGAGACCCACTTCTGCTTGCAAGATGTAAAAGCAAAACAATAAACTATTTTTTCCTCCAGCGTTCTATTTCTGTTTCATTCTGAGAAGCAGCCTCTGCAGCATCAGCTGCCTTTCCCCCCATTCTTTTCATTGATCAATGGAATTTTATTTGTAACTTATTAACTCTGCATATAAAAGCATTCTCTGGACTTTCTTCCCCTTTTATTTGGGCGTCCTATAACCCCAAAGCTGCATTGTCCCCTCCTCGCCCAGGGAAGAAGGCAAACAGCTCTGCAGAATTCAAAATGTAAACTTTTCCTTCGCTTGAAAAGCCAGACTGCTGTTATTTAAAAAAAAAAAATGAAGAAACCAAGAGAACGGAGCATGCGCACTGCTTCCTCTGAATAAAGAGAACGGAGCATGCGCACTGCTTCCTCTGAATAAAGGGCGGGGCCCCTTCGTTCGTTCTCAACAAGGACTCCGCGGTGCGCCTGCGCGAAACACATGCGCGATGTTTCCCGCGCGGCCCGCTCTCCCAGGGGCGCATGCGTATAATTTCACACCCGCCCTCGTCCGGGGTACGAGCGACGCCCCGCCCCCGGAAGCACGTTGAATGGATTTCCGGTCCTGCCTAAACTGGCCCCCCCTCTCCAGCCCCCCCCCAGCGGAGCCTAATTGGGTTCCAGGCAAAATAAGCCCCCCTCCTCTCCCGCCCCCGGGGGGAGAAGGTGAGTTGGGGAGGGGCTGAGTTGGGGGGGCTGCTCTGAAAGGGGAGGGGTCGCAGGGGAGGGGGGGTCAGAATGGGTCGCAGGGAGGAGTGAATAGACTCAGGTGTGCCTCACCCGGTTTCTCTGGTCTTGGACTACAATGTCCATTAGGCTCAGCCTGCCTGGGCACAGCCACCCCAGGCATATAACTAACCCTGGTTTGCTTTAATCTTAGTTAAAGGCGGGCTGTGGTTTTGGGTTTGCAAAGCCAAGGGAGAGATGGACATATTTAGAGCAGAAGCCCCCCCCCCAAAAAAACCCTGGAGGGTCTGCACTCCCTATTGTGGGGGGGGGGTCTCTTTCCAGGAGACAACCCATTTTGCATTTGTGCAAAAAAAAAAAATTGCATTAGAAAAGATAAATACCTGTTTTTTTTTTACCTGCCCCTTTGTTTCTGGGGGCTGAGCAGCTTCCCATCCTAAAATCAAAAAAATCAAATAACTACGATTCATGGCATGTAGACCCCCACCTGCCACTCTGGATGCCCCTCTTCAGGGTCTTGAGAGAAATATTGCAGTTAAGTTCTAAGTTTGAACTTTCTCTCATGCTCCTAAATTCCTGCGCCGCACAGACTTCATCTCTTAGCTTTTGTGGCACATATATATTCTTCGCAGACGCTGACAAGATCGGTCCTGTGTCAGAGACCAGAAGAAAATATTGGGGGGGGGGGAAACCCAGCCTAGCTGGGAGAGAAGGGCCTTTCAGCCCCCAGGTGTCACTCGCTCTTCTTGGGAAGCGTTTCAGGTTCGGCCGCCATGGCGGAGTCCGAGGACATAGAAGAGCTTCAGCGGGAGGTGGTGGAAGAGATGGGCATCTCCCTGGAAGACCTCAAGCAGCTGATTGAAGAGGAGCTGGAGAAATCCGAGTACGTCAAGCAGCGGAAGAAGGAGCTAGAACGCCTGGAGGACTGTGTGAAGCAGAAGGAGGCTGAAGTGGCCCATGTGGACCAGCTCCTTGAAAACGCGGTGAAGTAAGCAAAACAGCTGGGCCTCTGGCACACCTGTACGTTTGTGGAAAGCTAGAGACTCACAGAATCAATACAGGTAGTCCTCAGGATATAAGCATCACGGAGCCTTTACCCATCTGGGGTCTAAGTTATGACGATGATAAAATGGGTCAGTCCTCTGGCCCAACTATTGAAACTTCAAAACTGGGTCGTAAGTAACCCAAGGGATATAACTGTCATAACTTTGTGAGGTTTGCTAAGTGACTAGTCTTAAATCAAGGACAAATCACGCCGAGGGAGGGGAAATCTCTGCATTACTTCTCTTAGTTGCCTAAGCCTAACCCATAGCTTGCCAGGGGTGAGTTACTATTGAGCAATCAGGCTGTTTCACCTCTGCTGGGATGGTCAGCAAATAACATGGAACGCGCTGAACATTTCAAGGCCTGTCAAAAGCGCAGGTTGTCCTCCACTTGTACCGACCACAACGGTGCCTGAAATTTTTGTTGGTAAGCCAGGCATGTTAGGGGAGTTTTGCCCCGTTTTGCGATTTTTCTTGCCACAGTCGTTAAAGGCAATCACAGTTGTTAAGTGAATCAGGCTTCCCCCACTGATTTTGCTGGTCAGAAATGGGACTCTGTGACCCCCCTCCTCCCTCAGGACACTGCAGCCGTCATAAATGCGAATCGGTTGCTACACTGGTTGTGTGGGAAAACGGTCCTTTTTGTCAGCGCTGTTCTCGCTTCGAATGGCCACTAAACAAACTCTTGTGAATGTCGAGTATTTGGTCCCATTTCCTGGGAAGCTGCCAGGAGCTCTGATTTGCTGGTTCCGCCTCAACCGATACGTACTTCCGGTTCCTTCCCAGGGCGGTGGATAAATGCGAGGTGCTGGTCAAAGACATCTACGTCAACCTGGGGCTGGAATATCGAGAGTCGGACTCCGACTCGGAGAACAGCTCCGGCAAACCCATGGAAGTGATTGAAATCCCCGACGAAGATGACGATGACATCATGAGCGTAGACTCAGGTGGGCCAGCCGATGGGATCCGCCCACATTTGCTCAAACTTTACATCTGTTAGCTAGCCGGGATGGTTTAAAATCGTGCTTCGGTCCTTTTTGGCTGGAAAACACTGCATTTCGTTTGTATTTCCTTTGCAGATCCGAGTAACAAAATTGCAAAAGACCAGACCCTGGTAAGTTGGTGGGACTGGAAGGGGAAACGACAGCTTAATTCACTAACCTAGTTACGAAGTTAGGGAAAAAAATAACCCAGTTAGAAACCTAGGGAGGTGGGTGGGCATTTTCAACAGGTAAACTGAAGCCATGAAATAGCTCTTCCTTTTGTGGGGGGAAAAATTAGATTACTCTGCTTTGGTCCTGTGGGGGCCACTGGGTGAGGGCTGTTGAGCTGAAATCCTGCTTTGAGCCAGGTTTTGCTTGCAAGCTGGGCAACTGTTGCTCTGTCGTTTAATAATAATAATAATAGTAAAGTTGGAAGGGACCTTGGAGGTCATCTAGTCCAACCCCCTGCTCAGGCAGGAAACCCTATACCTTTTCGGACAAATGGCTGTCCAGTTTCTTCTTTAAAACTTCCAGTGTTGGAGCATTCACCACTTCTGGAGGCAGATTGTTCCACTGGTTAATTTTTCTAACTGTCAGGAAATTTCTCCTTAGTTCTAGGTTGCTTCTCTCCTTGCTTAGTTTCCATCCGTTGCTTCTTGTCCTGCCTTCAGGGGCTTTGGAGAATAGTTTGACTCCCTCTTCTTTGGGGCAGCCCCTGAGATACTGGAACACTGCTATCATGTCCCCCCTCGTCCTTCTCTTTGATATGTGAAAAATAATATTATCCAGACCACCAGTCTCGTCTTCTCCCTGCCGAAAAGTTTTAACTTGGCACCCACAAACGGCATCAAGTCAAACTTCCTCCTTTTTCTAAGATGCTGTCCGTCCCTGCCTGAATTCCTCCCAGCTTTTGTCTCTTTCCGTGAGGAAATCAAACAGGCGCTTTGCTTCCCCCCCCCCAGCTCCGAGAAGCCATGGCTGCCATGAGGAAATCCGCTCAAGACGTTCAGAAGTTCATGGACGCGGTGAACAAGAAGACGGGCAGCCTGGAGTCCCAGAGAGGTGTGTGTGTGTGTGCTGTACACAGTTGCCTTGGGGGGGGGAAAGCAGAGTTTCGGGGTCTCTTCGACACCCGGATATCCTTGGGAAAGAATGCAGTCTAACACGGAGTCCGAGAATAAACGGACACGACGTAGGGTAAAGTAGAGTGAACTCTGCAGCAGGATTAGGCCCCGTCCTGGGAAATCCTAATTCTGAAATGCAGGTGTTGCTTCCTCTTCCACTTCTTTTTTTTTAAAATCATGAGGACTAGCAATGAACTTTCATTTTGTGGAGAAAAAAAACAAAAAAAATATAAATTTGACCCGACTGTTGTGGCTCTAGCTGCCTTCCAACCAAATATGGCAGTTGATTGCTTTATGTTTTTTTAATCTGGTACTCCTCCGCAAGAGCCAGTTAGGCGTAGCGATAAAGGCGGCAGGCTAGGAACCAGGCGATCGTGAGTTCTAGTCCTTCTTAGGCGCAGAGCTAGTTGGGTGAGTCATTCTCTTTCAGCCTTGGGAAGCAAGCAGTGGCAAACCACGTCTGAACTAGTGCTAAAAAAAAACAAACCCTTTATTTTTCAAAACAGGATTACAGCATGGCAGCCCTGGCTGTGAACTCACCCACGATGGTGACCTGACGGTTGGTGACCGTGTCCTGGGGAAGAAACGCACAAAGACCTGGCATAAGGGCACCTTGATTGCCATCCAGACAGTGGGTAAGGACCCCTCAAGTTGCCCCCGGGATCTTAGCAGGCCTGGCCAAGCCTTGAGCAGTGTGAAAAGGCCTTCGCCAAACCCAAGAGGGGCACCCAAGGGGGTTGCTAAATTTGGCAAGTATGCAAAAAGCTGTCTCTTGAAACTTATTCGCAAGAAAAGCCACCAACATAGAGGAAGGAAGGAAGGAAGGAAGGAAGGAAGGAAGGAAGGAAGGAAGGAAGGAAGGAAGGAAGGAAAGAAACTAACAGAAAGGGGATAGATAGATGATATATAGATAAACATATGAAAGGGAAGGCACGAGGAAGGAAGGAAGGGAGGGAGGGAGGAAGAAAGGAAGGGAGGGAGAGAGGAAGGAAGGAAACAAACAGAAAGGGGATAGATGATATATAGATAAACATATGGGAGGGAAGGAGGAAGGAAGGGAGGGAGGGAGGAAGAAAGGAAGGGAGGGAGAGAGAGAGGAAGGAAGGAAACGAACAGAAAGGGGATAGATAGATGATGTATAGATAAACATGGGAGGGAAGGAGTGAGGAAGGAAGGAAGGAAGGAAAAGAAAGACATAAAGAGAAAGAAAGAAGAGAAAGAAAAAAAACACATTTGAGTCAGTTTAGTATTAACCAGCTGTAATTTTTCCCCCTTTTCGACCAGTATTGTATGTTTTATTTAACCCTCTTTGATTTTATAACATCTGGAGATCTACAGTTGTATCCTTTCTCCAGCCCATGTAATCGCCGTGCCTCTATTTATGAAAAAAAGAACTATATTTTGAACAGCCTTCTCTCCATCAAGTTACAGTTCTTTCTCTTGACCATCTGTCTCTGATCGTCATGAGGACTAGAGCCTTGCTTTAAATTAAAACGAAACCTTTCTCTCTCTCTCTCTCTCTCTCTCTCTCTCCCTCTCTCTCTCTCTCTCTCTCTCCTCCCCTAGGTCCTGGGAAGAAATACAAGGTAAAATTCGACAATAAAGGGAAGAGTTTGCTGTCGGGCAACCACATTGCTTACGACAGCCACCCGGTGCCCGAGAGGCTGAATGTCGGCAGCCGGGTTGTGGCCAAATACAAAGATGGCAACCAGGTCTGGCTGTACGCTGGAATCGTGGCCGAGATGCCCAACGTCAAGAATAAGATGAGGTCAGGGCAAGCTGCTCTTGGGTTTTAAAAACAGAAGGAAGGGGGGGAAAAAATATCAGTTTGTGAAGACCAGGAAGGATGAGTATTTATTTAGGAATCCTTCACTAAAGCCGGGAGACCAACGCAGGAAAAGTCGCAAGGAAAGAAAAACTAACTGCAAAATTAATTTTTGGCTGGTATTCTGACTAGGGCTCCTGCCTGTTTTCAGCTTGCTTCTGAAGCGGGGAAAATTGCTATTATTATTTTTCCCCCCCCCCCAATTGATTATCCTTGATGTGCTGCAAACCGGAACTCAACCGTTCCTCTCTGTGCCTCTTCTAGGTTCCTGATTTTCTTCGACGATGGCTACGCCTCCTACGTCATTCAGCACGAGCTTTATCTCGTCTGCAGATCACGTGAGTCCAACGTTCCCTCCTGGATCCTGCTTTGGGCAGACGAGCTGGGCTTGGGGGTGGGAGGGGGGTGGTCTTTGGTTAGTCGTCCGTCACTGAACGAGCTTTGGTCAGCCGAGGCCTCCCTGTAGATATTAACTGGTGTGGGGTCTCTTTCGCACGCGCAGTCAAAAAGGCCTGGGAGGACATTGAGGACGTCTCCTGCCGGGATTTCATCGAGGAGTACGTCACCGCCTACCCCAACCGGCCGATGGTGCTGCTCAAGACCGGGCAGCAGATCAAGACCGAGTGGGAGGGGACCTGGTGGAAATCACGCGTGGAGGAGGTGGACGGAAGCCTGGTCAAAATCCTCTTCATGGTAGGAGGGGCTCAGGGCCCCCACTCGAGGGCCAGACACCCCCCCCCGGGTTCAGGCCCCGATTCTCTGCCCCCTTCCCCTGCTGACCTCTGTTTCCAGCATGGCCCAACATCCTCTGTCTCTGTCTCTCTCCCTTTCTCTTATTCTCTATCCCTTTCTCTTACTCTCTCTGTCTCTATCCCTTTCTCTTACTCTCTTTATCCCTTTCTCTTTCTCTGTCTCTATCCCTTTCTCTTACTCTATCCCTTTCTCTTACTCTCTCTATCTCTATCCCTTTCTCTTACTCTCTTTATCCCTTTCTCTTACTCTCTCTGTCTCTATCCCTTTCTCTTACTCTCTTTATCCCTTTCTCTTTCTCTTTCTCTGTCTCTATCCCTTTCTCTTACTCTATCCCTTTCTCTTACTCTCTCTGTCTCTATCCCTTTCTCTTACTCTCTTTATCCCTTTCTCTTACTCTCTCTGTCTCTATCCCTTTCTCTTACTCTCTTTATCCCTTTCTCTTTCTCTGTCTCTATCCCTTTCTCTTACTCTATCCCTTTCTCTTACTCTCTCTGTCTCTATCCCTTTCTCTTACTCTCTTTATCCCTTTCTCTTACTCTCTCTGTCTCTATCCCTTTCTCTTACTCTCTTTAATCCCTTTCTCTTATTCTTTGTCTCTGTCTCTCTGTCTTTCTCTTTTTATCCCTTTCTTTGCCAGGATGACAAACGTTGCGAGTGGATCTACCGGGGCTCCACCCGCCTGGAGCCCATGTTCAGCATGAAGACGTCCACAGCGTCCACCCACGACAAGAAACAGGGCGGGCAAATGAGGATGCGGCCCAACGTGGGTACGTCTCTGTCTGCACAACCCTCAGCCCCTCGGCCGAAGAGCAGCCACAGGGTTGGAGAGGGAAAGCCAGAGAGGATAATAAACACAGAACCTACCTCTCCCCTCCCCTCCAGGGGCCGTGCGGACCAAGGGCCCAGTGGTGCAGTACATCCACGACCTGACCGGAACCAGCCCTCAGCAGCAGCTCCAGCCTGCAGAGCCCCCAGTTCCCATCACCACTGCCCAGCCGGTGCCCCTCTTCTTTGGGGAGACAGAGTAAGTTGTGGGGGGGAGAAAGTCTCCATTTCTTGGGGGGGGGGCTCTTGTGAAGCCGCCCATAAAGCAGCTTCCTCTCACCTTTTTACTTGACCCGACTTCGGAGCAAAATGCAGGCAGTCCTCTCTCTATGACCACAGTTGTTGCTAAGCGAGGCCCTGGTTAAGTGAGCTTTGTCCCACGCTGCGACTTCTCTGGCCACGGTCGTTAAGCCGGTCCCTGCAGCTGGTCAGCTAGTCTCACAGGTGTTGAGCGAGTCGGGCCTCCCCTCCTCCCCTGACTTCAGAAGGCCCCAGAAGGGGATCGCGTGGCCCTGGACGACCGCGACCGTCATAAGTACGAGTCGGTTGACTAGAGTTTGAATACTGACCCCATGACCGTGGGGAGAGGCTGCAGTGGTCACCGGGGTGAAAAACGGTCCCAATTCCCTTTTTTTCAGGGACGGTCACTAAATGAACGGTTGTAAGCCGAGGACTGCCTGTAAAACTTTTTCCTGTTTTGAACTCCTGCAGCTCGGAGAGCCAGCTTGCTCAGGCGAAAAAACAGCAGGTGGCCAAGAAAAGCACCTCGTTCTTACGGCCCGGCTCGGTCGGATCAGGCCTGTCCCCCCCAGCCTCTCCCGTCCTGAGCGAAACGCCGCCCGTCGGCCGGACAGGAGTGACCCAGCAGTTCAGGTGGGCTGGGGACTAGAAGAGGCCTGGTCTTGGGAAGGCCTCTGCCTGCTTGGGGTCACAATTTTGCAGGGTCCTCCCTGTCTCGGGACTCTGGAGAGGCCCTTGCCTTTGTTGCCAAGATTGAGGAGTGGGCCCATCCCCAAAAGGGCTGCCCCAAAGCGTTGCAGAGTGGGGGGGGGGTTCCCATCTCGAAGCACGTCCCCCTAACAAAGACGATTAGGGGGCTGGAGGATAAAACACAACGAAGAACGGTTGCACGATTTGGGTAAGGCCAGTGGCGAAAAGAAGGTCCAGGGCGGGGGACACGATAGCAGCCTTCCAGTATTTGGGGGGCTGTCATAAAGAGGAGGGGGTCAACCTGTCCTCCAAAGCACCAGAAGGCCGGACAAGAAACAGCGGACTGAAACTCATCAAGGGAGAGAAGCAATTCTGGGAAGTCAGGAGAAACTTCCTGACATTGAGGACAATTAACCAGTGGAACAGCTTGCCACCAGAAGTTGTGGGTGCTCTATCACTGGAGGTTTTTATGACTGGGAGAGCCACTTGTCTCAGATGGTATAGGGTCTCCTTGAGTAGAGGGTTGGACTAGAAGACCTCCCAGATCCCTTCCAGGGCTCTCCTGGGTCCTCTTTCGCTGACGCTCCTCCCCTCCCCTCCTCTCCTTCCACCCGGCAGGTTCTCCGGGGCGCAGCCCCCCCCGGCGGGCACGGTGCCCTCCTTCCACAGCATGCTGGAGCGGGTGCCCAGCGAGCCCTCCTACCGGGCGCCCCTGGAGAAGCTCTTCTACCTGCCCCACGTCTGCAGCTTCAAGTGCCTGAGCCGGGTGCGCCCCGGCCGTCCGGACCTGCACCGCAGCCGCAACCCGCTGCTGATCCCGCTGCTGCACGACTTCCGGCGCATGACGGCCCGGCGGCGCATCAACCGCAAGACGGGCTTCCACGTGGTGTACAAGACGCCCTGCGGGCTGTGCCTGCGCGGCATGGGGGAGATCGAGCGCTACCTCTTCGAGACGGAGTGCAACTTCCTCTTCCTGGAGATGTTCTGCCTGGACCCCTACGTGCTGGTGGACCGGCGCTTCCAGCCCTACAAGCCCTTCTACTACATCGCGGACATCACCAAGGGCCGGGAGGACGTGCCCCTCTCCTGCGTCAACGAGATCGACAGCACCCCGCCGCCCCAGGTGGCCTACAGCAAGGAGCGCCTGCCCGGGAAGGGGGTCTTCATCAACACCGGCCGGGAGTTCCTGGTGGGCTGCGACTGCGAGGACGGCTGCAGGGACAAGTGAGCGCCCTTCCCCGTCTCGGCCCCCTCCTCCGAAGGGCCCCTGCCCCCCCTCCCTGGTCTTCTGCTTTATTTGCTCCCTCCTCCCCCTCCCTGGTCTTCTATTTGATTGATTGATTGATCTCCTCCGAAGGACCCCACTCCTATCCCCAGTTTTCTCTTTATGTACTAGCTGTATCCAGCCACGCGTTGCTGTGGCTCAGTCTGGTAAAAGCGTGTGTTGCTTTTACGTCCAACAGATGGCGCTGTTTTTCAAAAAAAGCATGTTATTACCTATCACAGGTGTGACATCTATATAATATAGGTATATAAAAACGCGCGTATTCGAATGCAACGTTGTGTCAAAATTTCAAAGCAATCGGTGAAGAACTTTCGGAGATTTAAGATTTTGAACAAACGAACATTTACATTTTTATTTATATAGATTTATCAGATTTATTGCCCCCCCACTCTGGCGTCTGAAGGACCTCTCCCCATATCCATCCATCCCTATATCTATCCATCCATCCATCCATCCATCCATCCATCCATCCATCCATCTATATCTATTTATCCAGCTAGCTATCCTATCTATCCTATCTATATCTGTCTATCGCATTGCCCCCCGCCCCCGACCTTAGACATCCCTTGTGGGCGCGAAGGGAGTCGAGACTGGTGACGCGCTTGACCCTTCCCTCCGTCCCTCCATCCCTCCCTCCCTTGGGCTCAGCCTGGTCACCTCCAAAGGGGTCCAAATCCTGGTTTGGCATTTAAGCCAGATCCAGCCCCAGGATCTGGTTTTATCTGCCAGGAAGCTACTGCAGCGTCCCCCGTTTGTCTCCCCCCTCCCCAGATCGAAATGCGCCTGTCACCAGCTGACGCTCCAGGCCACGGCTTGCACTCCCGGCGGGCAGCTCAACCACAACTCTGGCTACCAGCACAAGCGGCTGGAGGAATGTCTTCCCACGGGGTGAGTGGGGCTTTTTTGGGGGGGGAGCCCGAGCCAGGATCGACCCCAAGCCTCAGCCTGGATCCTGCTGGATTTCCATTCTGGAGGCTCATTCCTATGTACGGAAAGTCCTCCACTTACGACCGGACCCTTAGTGACCAATGTTTCCCCCCAAAAAGGCACTCATCACCCTCTTCTCCCCCCCGTGTCCTCCCCCCCCAGGGTGTACGAGTGCAACAAGGGCTGCAGGTGCAATTTGAACATGTGCACCAACCGCCTGGTCCAGCACGGCCTGCAAGTCCGGCTGCAGCTCTTCAAGACGCAGAACAAAGGCTGGGGCATCCGATGCCTGGACGACATCGCCAAGGGCTCCTTCGTCTGCATCTACGCCGGTAAGGCTGCGCTTCCACAGGGGAAGCTCTGCACCCGTGGAGCTGGGGGGAGGGCGGCTCAACAACGGATCAATCGTAAGTGTGAAACTGGGCAACTTCTAAGGCTTGTGGACTTCAACTCCCAGAATTCCTCAGCCAGCCGTGCTGCCTCAGGAATTTTGGGAGTTGAAGTCAAGTCTTTAAAGGGCCACAGTTCCCCACCTCTGCTGTAAAACAACAGGCTATCTCTGCAAATCGCAAGTTTCTAGTCCTGGTGCCTAGGGAAATCGGGGGGGGCGAGGGGAACGAGGCACGCTCAGCCGCCCCCTCCCCTTTCTGCTGGCAGGGAAGATCCTGACGGACGACTTTGCGGATAAGGAGGGCCTGGAGATGGGGGACGAGTATTTCGCCAACCTGGACCACATCGAGAGCGTGGAGAACTCGAAGGAGGGCTACGAGAGCGAGGCCAAGTGCTCCTCGGACAGCAGCGGCGTCAACCTGAAGGATGACGAGGA